TTTTCAGATCCATATACCCTCGCTGCCTCACCCAGTTAGAGTTGTAATCACATGTCACCTTTGCAGTGAGGTCCATACTGGACATAACTCTTAAAAGTTCAAGTCTTGAACTTTTCCTAACTTCTCCCTTTACTTAACTAAAGTACTTATCACTGTCTGCTTTACTTTTAATACTAATATCGTCTCTTATCCTCTCCCACTTGGAGGTAGGTGTACTTTCTATATTTTTGTCTGATTGTCTTCTCACTAATGCCTACAATACTACCTGGTCATGTTTATATATATGATGTTTGCTGAGGGAGTAACTGAATGAATTGCCCACCATGGTTCTTTGCTATGCATTATTTTATCCAGTCATGCATATGTGGTATATATTCAAGTCAATGGTTATCTCTTATGATCTTTAAGTTTTATAATAAATTTATCAAGATTTAATTCCAAAACAGTATGATACTCCTGCTCAGAGTATGTAATTCAGTTTTTCAGAATTTTCAGAATATCGTATTCTCGCCACAGTTTGAGAACATTTTCATCACCCTAAAACATAGCCCACAGTTACTGTCAGTCAGTCTCCACTTATCACTTTTAACTCCCTTCACCCTTTGTCACCACTAATTCACTTCTTGTCTTAGTCTCTGGGTATACTCATTCTGGACACATCATCAAGGGTTCTATAGTTTGGGATGTTTGTGACTGATGGCTTTAGCTACATATTTGCCAAGTTCTTCTGTTTTATAACAAGTACTACTTTGGTTTTAGAGCCAAAGTGTATTCCAATGGCTTGATACACATTTGCCTTTTAAATGTTACATCTTTTTTGGGGGGGGGTTTACGAGACAGGGTTTCTCTGTATTGTTTTGGAGGCTGTCTGTCCAGCCCGACCTCGAACTCACAGAGATCCGCCTGCCTCTGCCTCCCGAGTGCTGGGATTAAAGGCGTGTGCCACCACCGCCCGGCTTTAAATGTTACATCTTAATACTGTTTGATATTGATTCTATATACTTAATAGATGTATGACTTGCCAGAATAATTTGTGTGTCATTGTATTAATTGCTTTTTTATTACTGTGATTAAAAAAAACACCATGATCAATGCAACTTACAGAGAAACAATTTATTTGAGCATATGGTTCCAGAGGGTAAGATCCCATAATGATGGGGACAGCTTGGTGGCAGGAGCAGAAAGCTGAGAGTTCACATCTTAAACTTCAAGTATAAAACAGATAAATTAAAATGGAGATAGGTGAGGGTTTTTAATCTCAAATCCATCCACAGTGACATACTCCTCCACTGAAGCTGCACCACTTAAATCTTCCCCAAGTAGTGTCATCACCTGGGGACCAGGTTGTCAAATACCAGAGACTGTGGGGGACATTCTCCTTCAACCCCTATAGCCATCTTTCTCCTTGATACTGTACTTTGAAGCATAGGCATTTCTAATTATCATTTCAGTTTATCTGAGTTTGATTGTGGTGCTTTTCATCATATTTAAGAAATCAGTGCTTAATCCAACGTCAAGAGTTATTCCTATATTTTTTAAAGGTCTGCAGCATTAGTTCCTATATTTTTTTCACTTCGAGTTAATATTTGTGTATGTGAGGTGGGTAACTAGTTCTTTTGTGAATGGATATATCATTGGACATGGATGTCATGTCATCCCAACATTGTTACTAAAAAGACTACCTCACTAGCATACTACTCCATTGTATTATCCAGACACCACAGTTGAAATTTACTTGGTTATAAGTTTGAAGATTTAACTCTAGACTCTTGTGTTTAATTCTATCCCATTCATCATGATAACTTCCCATTCATTGCTGTCAGAATCTTTGGGGGTGGGGGGCAGATGGATTCTTTTTAACCTTTCTCACCTTGCCTGGGATGTTTTCTTATTCATTGAGAGCTTTATAATAACAGTTTTCTGGAAGGTGATTTCCTTGAAAAGCTTTTAAGAAAGGCACATGACTTCTTAAATCCTTAACTTGGTGGTTTTTATTTGCCTTCGTGGAGTTGTAAATGTCAGAGTTTGTACTCATGGTTTTCCTTTCCTGCCTTCAGTCTTCTTGGCTCTCAGAGTTGTCCACTCTGGGTTCTTATTTTCTTCTTCAGGAGCTCTTTGAGATCCAGGTAAATATTTGCATATTAGCATGGCCTGCTGTGCAGTGTAAGCCCTGCCTGGACTTTCTGCTCCAGCACCATTAGACATGTGGTCTGAAGGTAGTAGAAGCTGCTGGCAGTCACCTTGCAGCTAGAATGCCACACTGGAACACACAGGTATTGTTCATGGTGAGCTGTTAATTTTAGAAATTTTAGAAGTTTCTGATCTTAGAGGTTGGAAGTTCTTTTTTTAGATCAAGAGAGCAAAAAAAATTGATTCCCACTGATGCTGTGCAAAGGTTGGTAGGCAAACCATTCTATTGGCTTGCCCTTCCTAGTGAATAAACTAAGTGGTAGTGAACCCCCTTGGAGAACTCCTAAAACACAAACTAAGTCATTGAAATTGCAGTGGTGCATACATAGTGATCTCTACAAGTTGTTCTCAAAATACTGCTTTCCTGTTTGTTGACCACTACATTCAGGGTCTTTTAAGACTTATTTCAGTTGGATAGTAAATAAAAAAATTTCTTTTCAGTAGCAAAATGAAATAGTTGATTATCCTGGGCTTGCTTCTGAGACTATTAATATAGCGTTTATGTAGTAACAATTTGGTAGAAAGGCCTCCCTAATTCTTTGACTGGTTCTTGAGATCCTATTCCTCATATTGGATTGCCTGGCCGAGCCTTGATACAAGTGGTGCTTAGTCTTACCAGAGCTTGTTATGTCATGCTTTGTGGATAACCATAGAGGCCTGACCCTTTCTGAACAGAAACAGAGGAGTGGATTAGGGGGGCAGAGGGGTGGGAGGGGTGGGGCAGAGGGAAGGGAATGGGAGAAGAGGAGGGAGGGGAAACTATGGTTGGGATGTAGAGTAAATAAATTTTTAAAAGGCATCTCAGGGTTTTACTGTTGTGATAAAATGTCATGACCAAAATCAACGTGGGGAGGAAAGGGTTTATTTAGTTTTATGGGTTGTAGTCTATCATCCAGGGAAGTCAGGGCAGGAACTTGAGGCAGAAACTGAAGAGGAGGCCATGAGAAACACTGTTTACTGGTTTGCTAATTGTTGCTTGCTTATCTTACTTGCTTACAAACCCAGGGACTACCTGCATCAGGACAGTGCCACTCATGGTAGACAGGGACTCTCTTACCAGTTGTTAATTCAGACAGTAGCCCCACAGACTTGCCTCCTTGCCAACCCTATGGAGACATTTTCTCAATTAAGAGTCCTCTTTCCAGATATGACTAGGTTTGTGTCAAGTTGGTAAAACCAACCAACAGAATGCTCGTAATACTATCTGTTATTGTCTTCTGATCTCCTTCCAGGTTTTCCCCCTGGGATCTGGTAAGTTACTGGATGTAGCCAAACATACTAACAAACAGAAACTTTGTTCTTCCAGAGATTCAGTGATAAATGTATATTGAAAGTCTCCTGTGTACCCCACACTGTAATTCCTAATTTCTGTAATTCCAGAAAAGTTAAAACACAGCTCTACTCTTTGTTCAAGGACTAGATGTTAGAAAACAATATTGCTTGTTATTTTATAATTCTATTAGCAAGTTAGTCTCTTCATGATGCAAGTTATGCTAGGAATATGTGTAATTATATGTTCGTTAAAACAAGCAAAATAGAAGCCCTTTGTGAGAATAAAGGGATTTCACATGTGAAAGGCTAGGTAGCTCCTTTGAGGAAATGGCAGTCAAGTTGTGATGTTAGCAAGTAGTCAGCTCGGCTTTGAGAGCAATAGAAAAGCTTCGGAGCATAGTGTATGCCTTGGGATGAAAAAAGAGTATGAGCCTACAGATGCCTGAGAGTGTGTATCCAGGGATGCAGGAGAATGTGTGCCCAGGGTTGCAGGAGTATGTACTCAAGGATGCAGGAGAGTGTGTGCCCAGGGATATAGATGAGTTTGTGCCCCAATACGAAAAAGAGTATGAAGTCACAGATGCAGGAGAGTGTGTCCAGAGGTGCAGGAGACTGTGTGCCCATGGATGTACATAAGTGTATGCCCTGGGATGAAGAGGTTTGTGCCCAAGGATGCAGGAGAGTGTGTGTCTCAGGATGCAGAAGAGGGTGTGCCTGGGGATGCAAGAGAGTGCATGCCAGGGATACAGGAGAGTGTATGTCTATGGATGCCGAAGAGAGCCAGGGTTGTGAGAAACGTTTACTGCGAAAGGAGGGTTGAAAGTGAAGCAAGGCCAACCCTGTAACATGCCACAATCTGGGCTTTGTATTCTGTCCTAAGACAAGGAAGGGAAAATGCTCAGTGTTTTTTAAGTTAAAGCTGCTTTTTATGTGCCTACGGCTGGGTTTTTAATTAGAGATGTGTTATCTTTTGGTCCACTTACTTGTTAAATTTAAGTTTTCTTTAGTGCACTATGTCTTGAGTGTGCATAGTGATTCCGTGGAGCATTGGTTACAACAAAAGGCTTATTATCTGTGGAGTTCCGAGAAAATGTGGATACTGCTGGTCCCATTGTGGACCAGTAGATAAGACTTTGAAATAAAGCTAGAGCTCTAGAATTAACTTACCTTTTTTGCCATTGGTTTTGTTTTGTTTTCTGTTTGTAAACAGAATAAGATCATTTTAAGTCATAATAACCAAAAATATTTTTCTTTGTGTTTTTGAGGGTTGTATTTTATAGAAACCACTCAGAAATGTATAAATTCTACTTCTCTATGTACTAGATATGATCTCTGACTTCAGGAGGTGATGTAGTAAAAAGCAATATTAAAGAAAACAGCACCAGAAATGGATACATCAAATGAGAGAAACTGTTTAACAAAAATTTGTGAAGTATGGTAGTAATATTTTGAAATTTAGATGAATACAATTTTATATTATTTTATAGTATTTTAGTAAGATCAATAAGTCTTATAGCTTTTTTTAACTTTTTTTCTAGATTTAATCACTTGTTTGGATAATATATCTAAAATTTGGGAACCTGAGTTCAGGTATGAACTTGTGCACGTGGCGTGTGTGTGTGTGTGTGTGTGTGTGTGTGTGTGTGTGTGTGTGTGTGTGTGTGTGTATTCCAGCACACCTCTTCATTCTCCTTCTTTTATAGTACAGGTTAATATATTAAGTGTGATATATAGCTATCATTGTTTAAGAACACAATCAAACTATGCCTAATTAAAATCATTCAGTTACCCTATTTAAATTTTACTTTAACTGTAGTAGTTATATCTCCAAAACAGAAAGTATAATTTTATTTTACCTTTCTTTATGTAGAAGTATATGAGACAGTCTCACTGTATGGCCCAAGCTGGCCTAGAACTCAAGATCCTCCCTCCTTTGTGTCCAGGTGCCATGGCTCTGGGTAACTAGTGGAATGCTCTGAAGGCCAAGCAGTCTCCTAAATCTGGCAGCACTGCTCCGAAAAGTAGAAAAGCTGTTCTTTCTCAAGTTTATTTTAATATTTTTATCCTTTGAAGGTCTCTTACATTTATACAATATATATTGTTAATACCCATCTACCACCACTACTTCCCTTGAGCTCCCCAAGTACTCTCCATCCCATCCCCCTTCCAACATCACATCCTCCTCTTTTAATTGTTATTGGCTTGCCTTTATGCTCATGGGTGAGTGGCCATCCCCTGGGGCATGAGCAGCATACCAGTGCCCAAATTCCCAAAGGTAAGTAACTCTCCCTCTCCCTGCCATTATCAACTGTTCTTCAGATAGGCTAGGGCTCAATAGATAGATAGATAGATAGATAGATAGATAGATAGATAGATAGATAGATGATATATTCATAAATAGATGATCGGTAGGTAGGTGATAGATAGATAGATAGATAGATAGATAGATAGATAGATAGATAGGTGATATATTCATAAATAGATATAGGTAGGTAGGTGATAGATGATAGATAGATAGGTAGATGATATATTCATAAATAGATGATAGGTAGGTAGGTAGGTGATAGATAGATAGATAGATAGATAGATAGATAGATAGATAGATAGATAGGTGACATATTCATAAATAGATGACAGGTAGGTAGGTAGGTGATAGATAGATAGATAGATAGATAGATAGATAGATAGATAGATAGATAGATAGACTGACATAGACTGTAATAGGGTTCTTAGTATTCTTACTCAGCACCTGCCTACAATATGTCTGCTTTACACCTTTGTCTTGTACTTAGACAAGAATTGACTTCTTCGTTTCCCATTTCTAATCTTGCTTGACTTTTCTTCCGTTAGTTACACCTCTGGCATTTTGGTTTTCTAAAATACAAGTCTGATATTCCTTCTTAAAACTCTTGAAACTCCTTTATTATAATTTTTTTAAGTGTGTAGATTCCCTAACCTAGTTCCCAGGGTCTTTGACAAGTAACCCATGAGTCCTTATAAATCTCTCTCCTTCCTAGAAGCCAGAATAACCTCTCTAAAAAGTTACCCATGGAAGCTGCCACAATCCTTTACTGGCTTCCTGTTTTTATTTAAAAATGTCTCCCTGCTTCATAGCCCACAGGCTTCTGCAGGACCTGGGACCTGCCCTTCTCCTAGCCTTCTTTGTACTCACAGCACCTTTTCAGAACCACACCAGAGCATCCTGTCTTAGGGCCATGCTCTTCCTAGCTTCTGATGTGTATTTGCCATCAGTGACTGACTTCAGTGACATCTGCTAGCTCACATAAGCTATGTCAAGTCCTGTGTATGAGGAGCCTAACTCTGTGACTTATGTGCACAGTCCTTTACTTTCCTTGTCTGTAAAATGGAAACAATAATAACAAAATTACCTCCTACTTGAGATTCTTGTGTGGATTACCTGAGATGCTCAGGGTGCTCCCTCACACATAGCGAATTTGCTGAATATATGTATTTTATTAAATAACAATTCTCCCAGTTATTTAAAAGTCCCCACCCTCACCCCAGATATCTGTGTAAGTACTTGCTGAATGTCTTCATCTGCCATTTAAATATGAAGTCCAATTGCAGGACCTATTTTATTTGGTTAGCAATCATAAGTCACAGACCTCATCGGACAACATAATGGACATTCGTGTATACCTGTGGGACATGGCAAGTAGATCCTAGAGTAGAAAGCGGTCTACTGCTCATGACGAAGTAAAATAATCAAGGAGTTGTAGACTGTAAGAAGATTTTTGCCTGTTACGAGAAGCTTTTTCTTTGCTAGCCGCTTTGGTTTATCCCCCGCCAGCCGCCTGGGCTCTGCCGAGATGTAGTCCCCAAATAACACACAGGAAGCTATATTAATTATGAAGCTGTTGGCCTTGCTTGTTTCTTACTAGCTAGCTCTGACTTAAGTAATTACCCCATAATTGTTAATCTAAGTATGTTTCTTACCGGAGAATAGTTCCAGGCTTCCTACCCCCATGGCGTTACATGTTGACTCTCTTGTGTTTCTCCTTCCCAGAATCCTCCTGGACTCCTAGCCCTACCTATCTAGATTCCTATAGGCTCAACAGTACTTTATTGACAAATAACAGGCAAATAACAGGACTTCCCCAACATTGCCAGTATGTTCAATGTGAATGGGCAGAAGAAAGTCTAAATGGGCTGGGGTTATGCTCCACACACTGAATCAGCGTATATGAAGTGTATGGTATTTCTCTTTGGGGTATTTTCCTGCAGGAAATGAGCACTCTGTAATCTTTTACTTGTTTTCATTCTCAGTAAATACTGCCCAGCTGGCTGTCTGCTCCCTTTTGCTGAAATATCTGGAACAATTCCTCATGGATACAGAGATGTAAGTTGAATACAGATTTACTTTACTGCTCTGTATACTGTTATTTTAGACTCAGAAATGCTTAGGATGCCACCTGGTTGTCCCGAGATGCATATGTACTATGTGTCTCTGTCTTTTCATGTGTTTGAAATGATGCCTCTATAGTAAAACCTAACTCTTCTGCTAAAAATGTGTTTTGTTACAATAACATGTGTTTCTGAGAACCTGCCCAGATCAGCTAATTTCTTGAAAAAATACAATTATCTTGCTTATGAACAATAAGAAGAAAAGTTCATTTGCTTTGTTTGTTCTTTCAAGTCTTCGCCATTGTGCATGGCTGGAATCCACGCAGGAGTAGTGTCAAATGTCCTGGGCGGCCAGATCAGTGTTGTGATTAGCAAAGGTACCCCGTACTATGAAAGCTCTTTGGCTAACAACGTCACTTCCATGGTGTAAGTGCACATTTTTTTTTAGAAAGCATGCTGGGGGGTGGAGTTATGTGACACTATTCTTGGGGAGGTTAAACAAATGCCACCAGAAACAACCAATGACAGCACCGTAGTCCAATGTGGTAAACCAATGAGTTTTATCAGTGTTTCTTACAGGAATAGGGTGACAGGTTCCTTACAGGAATAAAAATCAGTCAAGGGAGCTGCATCACCAGAGCTCACCTCAGCGTGGATGACAGCTCACAGAGACTGGAAAGCTGGAGCTCACTGAACACCCAGCCTGTAGTGCAAGCCAGCAGGATGGAGGTGTCCTTCCCAGTGGCTCAGTTATTCTGCACTGCTTGCCTTGTTCTGCTGTGCAGAGATTGTCCTTTGTGACCGCTGCTGCTTTTCTCGGCTTCGAAACTCTCTGGACTAAGAGTCTAGGAGTTTCTGAACAAGGTCATACTTTCTTTGAAGATAAGATTCAGAAGATAAAACCATGTCCTTGTAGTTTATGCAACCCAGAGTGGACTGAGGCTAACTGAAATAGGTCAAGAAAAGAAATTTTGACATAAAGCAGAGGCAGTATTGTAAAACTCCTCATGACAAGAGTAGTAAATGTGTATTCTCTTGGTCTCTACAGTATTCAGGTATTTTGTAAAACATAGAGAAAGCATCCAAATCAGGACCAATTGAAACACTAAACAAAAATACAGTATTAGCAGTCTGCATCTAAAATCTTGCTTCTTCCATGAGCTTAGTCCTGCAGGCAATGTACTGATCTAACTGGAGCCTGCTTCCTTTTAGAAGGGAAGAGCATGGCGCATACCCAGGACGTGATAGAGTAACAGCACTTTTCTTTGAAAATCCATCTAGCTGCCAGGCGTGCGGGCACATACCCGTATTCCTAGAACGGGGAAGGCAGATGCAGAGGGCTATGAGGCTGAGGCCAGCTTGAACTACACAATGAAATCCTGCCTCTAAAAACAAAAACATGTCTCCTCCACTCATCCTTGTTTGTTTTATCCACAGCCTTTGAATTGCAAAAGAGGCTTGCTACCTTCCTTTTGTTTTCTGCTACATGATTTTATGCACCTCTTTTCATTTTTTTCAGGGTTTTGCCTATAGAGTTTAGAGGCATGTGTAGTTTCTTTCATATGTAAAAAAATGTGTTTTCTTTGGCATTGTAAGTAACCCAGGGATGACTTCAAGCTGACAGAGAGTAGGTTATTTACCAATAGTACATAAGATGTTTGGACATTTGCAGATTTTGATATCTGCCAGGGAGTATGGGATGTCCTGGAACTGGTCTCCATAGACATCTGGGGACAACTTGTAGGTTTCTGGTGGGACACCAGAAGGTGTAGTGGTGCGTGCCTGCAGTTCCCAGGCTTAGGCAGTAGAAGCAAGAGCATCAGGAGTTCACCATCAAGCTGAGCTATTTAGTAAATTCAAAGCCAGTGTATGCTGATGAGAGAGACCATATCTCCTCTTTTTTTTTTTTTTTTTTTTTTTTTTTTGGTTCTTCAAGACAGGGTTTCTCTGTATTGCTTTGAAGGCTGTCCTGGAACTAGCTCTGTAGACTAGGCTGGTCTCGAACTCACAGAGATCCGCCTGCCTCTGCCTCTGCCTCCCGAGTGCTGGGATTAAAGGCGTGCGCACCAACGCCCGGCGAGAGAGACCATATCTCAAACAAAATAAAAAATAATTTGCATCCCCTTGTGACCGCTTGAACTCTGTATTAAGAGAGAAGTGTAACTGAGCATCCTCCAGGCCTCCTGGAGTCTTAAGTGTTCTGTCCTGTAACAGGGCAGTTCTTCTCTTGTCTGACCTTCCATCCTTGTCTGCTCACCCATTCTGCCCCTTCCTTTGAGGTCCAGATGTGATGCTGCAGCTCACTCTCAAACATGCTGATGTTCTCTAAGGGAAACGCAGTCTCTTTGCTAGTAGCCAGCTCTTGTGTGCTTATTACTCTTGAGTCTCACCTCATCCTCTGAAATACACCTCTTCATGTTCTTTCACGGAGCTTAAGAGAAAAATGTTTAATGTATTTATTTCATGAAAAAGAAATAAAATAAGAGGTAAAGGTTACATGACACAATTGTGTGTGAACCTAAATGCTAGAGACTTAAAGAAAAAGTTGTTCGTGGTAATTTCACAAGTTGTTTTACTTAGAAAAGAAACTTTTTTAAATGTATGTCATCTGATTCGTAGTGATGGGCTTTTCTTAGCCCTTTAAACAGCAGGAGAAAGTAACGTTTCACTATGATGAATGTAAGGAAGCTGCATGTTAATTGAGTATCACATGAGACCCTTTCTCTCTTTCAGGGGCTATTTATCTACAAGTCTGTTCACATTTAAGACAAGTGGTAAGCCTTCCATGGACTTGGCATCATCATTGCATAATAGCTGATGTATTGAGCACCACCAGGCACCCTGTGACTGCTGAGTTGTTTTTTCTTTATCATTTGCTTTTGAGAACACCAGTAGTAAAATAGGGACCTAATTATGTAAAGAATAGACTAAATCCAAGTTCACTAGTCACAGGGGAATTGTAAGCTAATATGATTCCTTTGCGAACATGATTTGAACTTTTGTGAAGAAAGAACTCATTCATTCCACTTGTCTGAAAGCTTGAAGTCAGACAGAGAAGGCTTTACAAGAAGATATATCACATGAGCAAACCTAGGAGAGGTCCAGGAGGATGTTGCCTTCCAGCCTGATGGGCACCCCAGAGAAAATGTAGTGTGTCTCCACAGACAAACAGCTAATCCTTGTAAATACGTCTAGTTGACCCCCAAATCGATGGCTTTCACACCTACAGATTGGAAAGATTTAGAGGAAATGTTGTTTCTATGCTGTGTAGACTTTTTTTTTCCATGTTGTTTTTTCCTAAGCAATATAGTACTACAACTGTATATATCACATTTATATTTTCTTTGGCATTGTAAGTAGCCCAGAGGTGACATAAAGTTGACAGATAGCACACTATGTGCCAGTACTGTCCCATTTTATATTAAAGACTTGAGCATTTGCAGATTTTAGCATCTGCCCGGAAGCATGAGATGTTCAGAATCGGTCCCCCATAGCCAGCAAGGGGCAACTGCATGCTGTAGGTTTCTGGTGGTCCACAAAGGCAGGTGCTCAGTTGTGCCATCACAAGTCTCCAGTAAGCACTGCTGCAGAGATTTCAAATTGACCTCTAGAAACCAAATTGATTTTCCTTTCTACTCCAGGCTGTTATGGGACTCTGGGGATGGAATCGGGTGTGATTGCTGATCCCCAAATAACAGCGTCATCTGTGCTGGAGTGGACTGACCACATGGGGCAGGAGAACAGCTGGAAGCCAGAGAAGGCTAGGCTGAGAAAACCTGGGCCTCCCTGGGCTGCTTTCGCCACTGATGAGCACCAGTGGCTGCAAATCGACCTGAATAAGGAGAAGAAGATAACAGGTTAGGAGTCGTGGCTTCCTGCAGCACCGCTAGCACCGGTTGGCTTTGGAAACCCCATGACTGCTGAAATTTTCAGAAACTAGGTCACTGGAACTTAGAAAGCTTCAGCTCTAGTTTTCCGCTCGGGTGTGAATATTGCTGGGGATGCTCTTACAAACTTTGCCAAAAGAGGAATTTGCATTCAACTTTTAATAGCTCTGTTTTACTTTAATATGATCCTTGTAAGGTAGAGATTCAGTAAAGTGATTTTTGAGACTTCTAAAATAGTAGTCTCTTACAATTTTTAAGAAATTTATAGTTAAGGAGAGTGCATATTAAGGGCTAGAAGTAACTTATATTCCACATGTGCTGACTGTAAATTTAGCTTAGGTGAACTTAGCAGCGATCAGGATAATTGAGATTGGTTTAGAGGCTTTTGTTAGAAGATTAATTTTTGCCTTGCTACTGAAAATACCAATCAGCATGCTTAATGTTCTTTCCCAGGAAAGCCATTCTTAGTAGTTAAAATGTATCGTCTAACTGAATGAATACAAGCTGCAAAGGCACAATAGTTCTTCCCTTGCATGTGCCCATAATTCTCCTGTATCCCCAAAGGAGTAAAGCCAGGGCCTTAGTAACTATTAGGATAAAAACGCCCACAGAGATGCAGACAAGCCATAGATAGGAATGCTCGCAGGGTGCATCGTAGGTTCTTACAGCTGACTTTGGGCATCTGTGCTGTGCACTAATGAGAACAACTCTTTATTCCCCAGGTATTGTAACCACTGGATCTACCATGGTAGAACACAATTACTATGTGTCTGCCTATAGAGTTCTGTACAGTGACGATGGGCAGAGATGGACTGTGTATAGAGAGCCTGGTATGGAGCAGGACAAGGTAATGTGGGCCTTTGCTGGAAGTGATGTTAGCTCACTAGTACATACGTAAATATCATGTCTTATACTGCTCTCCACTGGGTGTTCCAGGTACTGTTTGTTACTGTCTTCACCTTAATGAATAGACTTAGAAAATTGTCAGTGATCCCAGGTCTTTGTAATTATATGAGAAGTACTGATTTTTGTTATTGAATTTCTAAGTATTTTTGATGTTAGAGTAGGAGCTTCTAAACAGTTCCAGTCAACTTCTTGTCTTTGTAACGTCCCCCAAATGATGGCATCTTGACTTCCTTCCCAGATTTCAACTATAGGCTAGAGGGAAGTGAGTCAGAGCCGAAAGCTAAAGAATATTAAAGATCCCCTCAGCAGTTTCTGCATCAGTACACACCAGTGTTACTATGTGCAGAGTTCCCACAGTCTTCAGTAATACTTACGACATGTCTGCTTAGTTAGCAAAAGATTATGGGAACTCTGGAATCAGCCACACAGGTGAGAAAACAGAGGAGGTGGAGTGCTTCCCCTGGGTGTCTGTCCCACTCCCAGGTTCGTGGCCTGTGGCCCTTGAGAGAATCTTTAGTAGAGGAATCTCCACCCCCAAGGGCGATGAATGCCATGTGGGGTTGGAACTGAGGGCCTTTTCTGTCAATGAGACTTGCAGGGTTTTCCTTCAAATACTGTCTCACTCACTTATCTCGTAATCTCCTGAGGTGAACTCACAGTGGCACTGGTATATTCATCCTTTCCTTTTCTTTCATTAAAATCCTTTTACCTCTCCATGATTCAGTTTGGAGATTTTTTTTTGTCTTTCCATTGTTTTATTCTTCTGCAGTGTCTAATCTTTTAGCCCCATCTGGTGCATTTTTAACTTCAACACTGTCCTTTTTCCTTCTTTATTTTCACCTTGAGTTTTACATGTTCCTTTCATGTCTTTTTCTTAGGTACATGACATATGAAGCATGTAATTCTTTTGGTGTGCTTACCAGTAACCTTATCCTACATATCACAGTGCCAGCTGTTGATTATGCTGGGTGTTTTTAATTATCATTATTAGTCCTTTATGTGTTCGAGCTTTATTCTGGAATGCAATTAAGTTTGGGGAAACAGTTGTTTTTTCTATTCAGGTCTTGATTCTAAGTATTGCTAGGCAGGAATGAGCAGTTTGGGTTGTAACTTGCCAGCCACCATTGAGACAGCATTCCATGTGTTATGAAACTTCTCCAAGGTGTATCCTGGAGATGTGGAGTGTTTTTGAAGCCTATGTCATTTTAGGATTGCTTTAATGGTCCTAAGATTCTTTTTCTCACTCAAAGCTGTGTCTTTGCTTATGGCTGAGGACTTAAGGGAATTCCCCTTGCAGAGTCTGGTAGCCTTTCTGAAGCTCATCCATTCCTGCTGTCATTCACTCTGATCCTCTCCAGCTCCTCACTCTACTACACTCTACCCCCGAAATTCTAGGTGTGCATTGGCCTCATGGTCCCTGGCTCGGTCTGCTCCACCAAAAGAGCAGCAGGTTCCGTTGGGTCCTCTTGCCCTGCGATCTGGAAATTCACCAGTCAGCACTGATAAGCAGGGCTTGTCTGTCTGTTTCCCTTCTCTGTGGCTCTTCCCTCTGCTCCCTGTTGCCCAGTGTCTTGAGAACTACTCTCATGCACTTTCCTGTTTTCTCAGTTGTCTGTGGCTGAGGTCCAGTTCCTGCCACTCAGTTACAGACAGAAGAGAGCATCCTTACATTTATTTGCATCAAAAATAACTTAACTCTGTCCTTCTGCTCATTTCTTGGGTAATTGATGTATTTGTTTTCACATGCCATTTAAGTCTGCACATAAATACAGACCCTAAATTTTTTATTTCAGAAAACATGATCAATATATTTCCTAAACTTTCATAATCTATTACTTTCTAATATTATACTATCTTTGTGTACATTTGTGTGTAGGGAGAATGGGAGAATGTGTGAGAGATAATGCCCCATATGACATACTCCTTGCATAGGGTTTTCTATTTTTATTTTTCCGAAGGGCATCTTCAAACCTCCCTGTGCACTGGATTCTCAGTAAATGTTGGTAGACCAACTATAGAATTTTGTTTTTGAGACAGGGTTTCATATAGCCTGGCTTTAGGCTATGTAGTGAGGATGGTCTTGAAACTTCTGGTTCTTCTGCTTCTACCACCAGAAGTCTGGGATTATAGACATGTCCCACCCCAGCCAGTCTTATGTGGTGATGGGGTAAGACTTGGGGCTTGTGCACTCTACCAACTGGGTTGTATCCCCAGCCTTTACTGATAGTTTGTTCCCAAAATGATGTTTCAGTTGGTTCCTGTTCTCTAATAACAAAGCCGCAGGTATCTTCCTGTATCCCATTTCAGAACAGTATCTGAGGAAATCATAGAAGTGGAGGTTACTGGACTCTCAGAGCAAACCTTCTAGCTCCTAATGTATCTTCAAAAGTGTATAATCTAGTTACACGTGGATGGGCCAAGAAGAAATTGGTATCATACTCGGGGCTGGCTTGTCCAGTGTGTGCATGTTCTCACCTTAGGTAGTAATAGAATGGACCTCGTTGATATAGCATGAAGGGAAAGCAAGATATTCCTTAACTTAGTGCACCCTAGTGGTTAAGTCAGAGGACTCAGTCAAGTCAGCTCCCTGTCACTAGTCAACCTCATCCTATGGGTCACTCTTTGTGTGCCCTGCTTGCAGATCATTTATAGCAAGTATATGAAAATATTTTATAAGTAAGAGCTGATGGAGACGAGGGGATGAGTTGATCACTTTAAATCATATTTTTACTTACAGATTGTTTATGTCATGCATTTTTAGCTGATGAGTTACAGTCACTATATAGATGGAACACTGTTTCAGAGTTATCACTTCTTAAGTAAGCAACAAGTAATGAAAACTGGGACTGTGATGTGGGGATGTCATAATGTAGTTGGTCCAGCAGGTGGAAGTATAGGCTTGTTTACATTTGCTAGTCTTGCGTTGTGGTCCAGCAGAGGCAGAAGATAATGTACGTGAGTAAAACAATACAACCATCCCCTTGTGTGATCAGCTCTTTTTCACTTTAAAAATAAAACCAATATGTTTAAATAATCATTAATTCCACAAGGACTGGGGCTGATAGTTTATTGATATAATTAACTATGTCACTGCAATTGAAACTTCTCCTAAATTGCCAGGTTAGCCCTCCTGTTCAGTTCTTAAGCCATCGTAAAAGTATTTTTATAGTTAGTGTTTCCCTCACATAGACTCCAGTGGAAAATGTGCAACTTCTTAATCATTGTTTTTCCAAATTGTAACTAAGGCATTTTCTGAGAAGTCTGTTCTATTGTCATACTTTACAGATATTGTTGAACATGCTTAAATGGAGCAGTCCAGTTCTGGTCTCTCTTGATGTAAAATACCAATTTTTGTTATTTTTTAAAGATATTTCAAGGAAACAAAGATTATCACAAGGATGTTCGTAATAACTTTTTGCCACCAATTATTGCACGTTTCATTAGAGTGAACCCTGTCCAATGGCAACAGAAAATTGCCATGAAGGTGGAACTCCTCGGATGTCAGTTTACTATCAAAGGTAAAGAGTCGGTGTGTCCATCAGTTGTCTACACTGCTTCCCTTTTCAATCTCCTGCTTAACTGGTCCTTAGTAATCACATGCATGGGATACTGTCACATTTCTGTACATGTATGCAGATATAATGATCAGGAATGGTCATCTCTGTCACTTCATCTCTTTGTATTTGAAACCTTTCAAAGTCCTCTCTCTGGTAGGAATGGCTCCTCTGTTTTCCTTATTAAAATCTGCACATCAGAATGGTTTAAAAATACAAATGAAAAGGCAGCATTATCCCGACTCCAGTCTTACAGAGTCTTATCAGCTTTAGTGTGGCCAGATAGTGCACGGAGATTTGAACAGCAGCCTTAGCATAAGGAACTTTTATTTATAAGTAATTAAACACTGTAATAATTCACTCAATATTTTATAACATTTTAATGTTATTTACTTTTTTTTTTCAAGACAAGGTTTCTCTGTGTAACAGCCAGCCCTGGCTGCCCTGAAACTCACCTTGTAGACCAGGCTGGCCGCAAACTCAGAGACCTGCCTCTGCCTCCCGAGTGCTGGGATTAAAAGTGTGCCTCACTGCCACCTGGCTGGGATTAAAAGTGTGCGTCACTGCCACCTGGCTGTTATTTCCTCTTGTGTCCCACAAAATTCCCACTGTGCCTGATGTAGTTGGCTGTCCATACATACATATTAAATGCACTGAATGTGTCATTCACTGAATTATAGCTATGGGGTAGACTTCTGCTCTTCAGCATTCTCCTAAGTGTCTATTAATGATTATTTAAATGCTGGAAAATCTCAGTTTTTTTTCTTCATTTAATGTAGAGTATAATTATCCATCTGGATTTTGAGATTTAAAATTGCTCTGCAGAATTAGTTTAGGAAATGTTGACCATTTAACATCAGTCTTTTTAAACTATGATTTTTTTCTAAATGTAAACATTTCTAAACCATTTTTAAGGCCGTCTTCCAAAGCTTACTCAGCCTCCACCACCTCGGAACAGCAATAACCTCAAGAACACAACAGCTCCTCCCAAACTAGGTAAAGGTATGCTTGCTTTTAATATGAGTTTGATATGCCCTGGATTTATGACATAATGGCCTATAAGTATATGTAAAACATAAAAATTGACTTATTTTGATCAAGCTGCTAATGATTTAAAAAAAAATAAAGACTTCTTCACACTTTTTTCAAGGTCGTGCCCCTAAATTTAACCAAGCACTTCAGCCTCGAAGTAGGAATGAACTTCCTGCACAGACAGCACAGACAACTGCCACTCCAGATATAAAAAATACGACTGTAACTCCCAATGTAACCAAAGGTAGGCAGACCAGACTAGACGCGGACACTTACCTGGTGGGAGTTCTTACTTTCAACTCGTGGTTTCGCTCTTCAGCTACAGGCTCCATTTGTGTTTTTGCAGCTCATACAAAGAAAATGAACTTCTCTTTAGGGAGAAGCCTGCATGTACCTAAGTCTCCGGTACATACAAGCTTGATGCTTAACTGTTGCCCTGGGCTATTCTGTAGGCTGCCCCACATGACATTCATCAACTGAGCACACAGTCTCAAAGTTCAGATGTGTGTCACTTCTAGGAATGATTAAGCCGCAGCAGTAAACAAGCTTTTTTGCCCGCAGTATGTGTTACTTTACAAACGGGAAAGTTAATAGAGGAGAAGAAGAAACAAAAATAGGAGTTTTGGGTAAAACACAAATACTTCAAGTAACGTTCTCATTTTTAAAAAGCCCTCTGCTTTCTATACATTTGTAATTTGGGTTTTTTCCTGATTATTCATTCAAACATTAGAATTACTTCTAAATTGTATAAAGATGATGAGTACAGTGTTAAAATTTACAAACCATTGCAGTTCTTTTTACTTGTTGCAAAGAAGATTTTCAGTTAAATTCAGAAAATAAAGTGCTAGTGTTGTAGGAGAATTACAGTCAGCGCCAACAGACGAAAACCGCTCATTTTCAGCAAAATGTGGAGAAGAACGAGTTACGAGGGAAACGCTAGGTTCTGTCTCATTAATAAAAGTGTGAAGCTCTAGAATGGTTTTATAACATCGTGAGAAGGAAACAGCAGGGCAGCAAGCTGTAAATCTGCACAGCTGCAGAGTCCGGGGTGGGGAAGAGGAGAAGAGAATGTTGGCAAGCAGGAAGAGCAGCTGTGGGAGAGGAAAAGGCCTCAACTTATGAGAAACACCCCCCCCCCGGATAGGTACACATAGGACATCTGAAAAAGAGAGAAAGAAGGAAAAGCATGCTTGGTGTCAGACTGTGGTTCAGAGATACTGGACTGACCCCAGGCTCTTACGTCCCCACGCTGAGGTTGTACCAGGGATACACGGTTAGAAACAAAAGTAGAGAGACAGTTTATGAAAAAGGAAAAAGCACATCAAGAGTGGCAGTGGGGTTCGTGAGCTGAAGGAAAGCCCCAGAACTGTTGGGGCATAAGGCGTGGCCCGCCATAGAACCTTTAACTGCAGGCACACTCCTGTTGGTATCACTGGCTTTTCTCACACATTCTCTGCTTGTACTTAAAATCTCAGGTGGGAAAAGATCCCAGTCTTGGCCTGGTCTGTTTTCTTTCATCTTGATGTTTCCAGTCACTACTCTCCGGCCACTAGAGGGTGCCTCATCCACAGTAGTGCCCCACCCACCCCTTCTAGAATTTAATAACAGCTTTCGTTTTCTAAAAATCTGTGTAAATTCAGATAACTTTCTCCAGCGTTCCAAACATGAGCTTCTCTCCTGTCTCCATTTTCCTCGCCGGGAAGGAAAAGCTAAACAGAAACAAGAGTTCTCAAGGCAAATAGAGCTGAGCATATTCTAGGAACCACCCTTAGCTTCCCAATAGTAATGCAAACGTACAATGTTTTTTCGAATATAAGCTGAACTGTTTGTGTTTACATAAGAAGACGAGAAGACATGTTCCTTGGGTGCCATCAGATAGCATCTCTTTCTGTCCTGGAACCTGCCAACCTAGCTATGTTAGCTGGCTAGCGAGCCTCCCAGATATGCCCATCTCTGCCTCCACCATGTTTTCAACACTCCACCTTTTTTGTGTTTTTAACATGGATTCTGGAGACTGAATTCAAGACCTTGTGCTTACAAGGCAGCTACTTCACTAACCCCTGTGTCTAGGCAGAGGTCGTGATGTCTGGGCTTTCACCAAACTAGCCATGTATATAAACCTGTACTGTTCCCTCCAGCTATAAATAAAAGTTAAGGAAAGGACATTTTTATTTTTCTGATTTCTAAGGCCTTGATCATGATTTTAATTTATCTACTACTGCTACTACTCCTCTACCTCCTACCTTTAGTTTCCTGGAGAAAATCATATCGTGGTCAGATGTGTGATGGCAATCTTACAGATGCCTCCAGTGAGCTATTCTGCTCGTTCTCTACTAAAGCTATTTTAAATACTCCCCACATTCTCAAATACTTGACCAAGAGAGTTTTCACTCACCCACCATTTCCCCTCTACCTTTACAAGGTGGAAACTATAAGAAGGTTAATCTGTTTTGGGGAGGAGGCTGCAGACTTAACCTCTAGCCTCTGCCCAAGGCATTTGTAAAGGAAACCTCTGTGCTGGCCATGGCAAATCCCTTCGCCTGGACCTGGTACCTACACCTGCTCCCTAAGCACCTGACGTTACTGTCACCTCTCCTGTTCTCTCTTCTGTGGTGTGCTTCTTTCTCTCTTGGGTGCAGCAGAGAGGAGAGTAAAGGAGATACTGTGGGTTAGACACATGGTGGCTGCTCTATGTCCTCAGTGACTTGTCAGCATCTGCTGCTCTTGTCCTGCTTAGTGGCAGCAGAGGATTGAGGGGTGAGGGAAGGAATTACTATTCCAAGTAGCTTTAAGCAGATGATTTTCTGTGGGACGAGAGAAGGACGAAGGTGATGTCTATATACATCCCTGCCCACTCCAGCATCAAGGGCGTTTTGACTATTTATTCACAGATTGTTTTCTGTGCTTGGCTCCACTGTTACCTGGCCATATCTACAGATACTTTGCAATGGTATTGTAACATTATTTTTCGGTTGCTAGATTATCTCATCTATAATGAAGATAGCACAGTTCATCACTGGATATTTGGATTCCAGTTTTCACTCTTCTGCAGAAACAAGAATGGGCAACTTTGAAGATGTTTCATTGAATGTCTTGATGTCTTCCCAAGAATAAAGTCTTGATGTAGAACGGTTCTTATACATACTGCCTCAAAACACCAATCGGAAATACATCAACAAACCTGTTTCCTGCTATCCTTCCCCAAAATGCTCATTCTTCTTTTAGTGGCTGCCAGTGTCATGAGCAAAAGTAGAACCTTGTTTTTGTTTTAACTGGCATTTCTTTGCAGCCGAGGCTTGCTTGCATTTTCTTGGTGGATTGCTAGTTGACCGTGAAGTTCTTATTACCTTGTTTTTGACCTGTAATGTCTTATAACACACACTCTACTGTGAATGCCTGAGATGCTTTTCTGGCTGATCATTTGTCTTTCAACTTTTGGCAATTTAAAGCCTATACTGCTTTCACACATGTGCAGAGACAGAATAAGGGACACACTGAAAGAATTGTGCACAGGCTATGTCACCTGTTTGTGACCAGCCTTGTTCCATAAATGATGTTTAAGGTAGTCTGAGACAGAAAGTGTTGAACTATGCTAATCTGGTTCAACTTCTCTGTCTTTTCCTTCATGATTCCTGCTCCACTCTTAATGTGGTTGTTGTGTTTCATGGCTTCAGATGTCGCACTGGCTGCTGTTCTTGTTCCTGTACTGGTCATGGCCCTCACCACGCTCATCCTCATTCTAGTGTGCGCTTGGCACTGGAGAAACAGGTCAGTACCAAGCTTGTTTACGCAGTTGATCCTGGGAGACATGCAGTGATGGGAAGCAGACCCTAGGTATATAAAATACTGGAAATCAGTACATTCACCTGTTAGGGTAGTCACTAGAATAAAACCAGGTCTCTGCTTCAGCTCCAAGGACAGTTGGTTACTATGGAGCTCTCATGGTGAGGTCTACATTGTACATTAGCATCTATACATTAAGATGAACACTGACATACAGCTATTTGGTAGTACTGAAAACAACTTGACTGACTCCTCACAGACTCTGGAGAGCCTTCCAAGCCTAGAGGAGCATTGTCCTCCCTCCACCACTTGTCACTACTAGTGACAGGTAGCGTTGTTCACTGGGCTTGCATGAGCAAGGCTCAAAATTTATCTGTGCAGAAGGACCACATGTTCCTGACTAGCTCATAACTGCTGTCTATGCTGCGCTTTGGGAGATTTTTTACTAGAGGATTCACTGTTTTCTAACTTTTAATTTCAGAAAGAAGAAAACAGAAGGCACCTATGATTTACCACACTGGGATCGGGCAGGTAACTTGTGGACTTAGCTTCTGTCCTTCCAGTCAGAAAGAAATCTTTCCTCTGCTGGGTGTGGAGGAGGAGGACCCTTAGTGATGATGCCTCAGTTAGAAAGTAACATACTGTCCTTCAGCTGGAGAGATGACTCAGTGGTTAAGAGCACTGACTTCTTTTCCAGAGGACCCAGGTTCAATTCCCAGCACCCACACAGTAGTATATAACTGTCTGTAACTCCAGATCCAAGGGATCTGACACCCTCACTCAGACATACATGCACAAAAGACACCCAATGCACAAAAATAAAAATAAGTAAGTCATTAGAAAAAGAAATTAACATATTCATATCATTTGGTTCATAAATAAAGGGAGAATATAAATCTCTTACAACACCCACTGCTATCTTTTCCACTGAAAAGTGGTTTTTTCCCTGCAATTATTCCTCTTAAGGAGATGAGCCTTCCATGTGGTCTGTGTAAGCACTGAGTAAGAAACAAAGACCAGCCAGGCAGTGGTGGTGCACACCTTTAATCCCAACACTGAGCAGACAGAGGCAGGCGGATCTTTGTGAGTTCAAGGCCAGCCTGGTCTACAAAGAGAGTTCCAAGACAGTCAAGGATACATACACAGAGAAACCCTCAAAAAACAAAACAAAACAAAACAAAAAAAAAACCAATGCCCAGGGTTCCAGTAACAGTATATATGTGTGTGTGACTCTACCATGGTAATCACCAGTGGAATTCAGTTCTTTAAGAACCTGTGAGGGCCTTGGTCATATGAATTGCTGAAATCCCCTTCCTAGTCTCATTACTAGGTCAGTGCTATGACCAGAGAATACCAGGCCTCTGGCTCAACAGTTCAGCCCAAGGATAGTTAAACAGTGTTGGAGGTTTTGAGAAAAGGTTTTTAAAAGCCATGAAGTGACCGTGTCTAACCATGTATTAGTAGTGATGTATTTCTGTGTGTACATTGGGTCGAGACTTCTGCCGTTTGCTGCTTTGTGCTGAACATTCTATCAGAGCACAGTCACCTCGAACGTGAGCCTGATTTCGATAGAATTGGTCTCTGTAAGTAATACATGGTCCCTGGCTTACAATCACAATGAAGGTTGGTGGAAAGGAGTGAAGCAGTTTCTCCCTGCCAAATCCCTGGAACACGAGGAGACGCCAGTTCGCTACAGCAACAGTGAAGTCAGTCACCTGAGTCCAAGAGAAGTCACCACAGTGCTACAAGCTGATTCTGCAGGTACGACTACAAACACTTTCGCTTGTTCCAAGGACTTCTGGCTTTACAATATGTTTGATCTTTTTCATAACTTAAAGATAACCTATGTTCTGGGGCTAGAGAAACAGCTGAACACGTAAGAGCACTCATGGCTCTTGCAGAGGACCTGAGTTCAATTCCCAGTGCCCACATAGCATCTCCAAACCATATGTAACTCAAGTTCTGGGTGATCAGATGCCTTCCTCTGACCTCTGTAGGCACCAGGCACACACATGGTACACAGACATACATGTAGGCAAAGAGTCATACACATTAAAAATTTTTAAGATAAACTGTGTTCTGAAGATTAGTGTTTTCAAAAGATAACCTTGAGAGAATGAATCATTTCTGCTTAGATATTCTGCTCATAAAACTGAAGCATTCAGGAATGTAGATTAGCATAGCATTTGGAAATTAGTATGAATGTGATTTAATGAACTAGAAATAGAACTCTGTCATGATACAACTGTACTGTTCCTGAGTAAATTCAACAATTCAAGCCAGCATGCCTTGGACATACTTCCAAGGGCCATATTGTTGAGTTTTCATATCAACCAAGGGCCGGAGTCTCCGGTGTTATATCAGCAAGGTTCCCAACAACACACACTTGATCTAGTTTATTCAAAAAAGATTGTCAAAGCATGTATGGCTCAAAAACTATCAGGATGTATGAAGGTCCACTGCCTGCCTGGACCATGACTGCTGTCTCCCTCCAGCAGGGGTCAGAACACCCAGGTCGGGTCACCTATCACCTCTGAGACAGCCACACACTAAGCATTCTCCATTGCATCGTCCATCTCGCTGGAACTTTTCTTTCTTTTTGCTTTTTTATTGTAACTCGGCAAGTATTTGTTGCATTTATTTATGAATGCAATATTGTAATTTATATGTATGAATCATTGCATCTATTTAATTAACATGAACAAAAAAGAAGGAAAATCCTCATATGAGAAGTGTCCATATGACACTTGCTTTGGATATTAAAGCCAGCTAAAAAGGGACAATTAAAAAAAAACTGAAGCATTACTTTCTAAAGAAATTGAGCTTTATATCTGTTAGCCAGGGGGTTGGTTTGCTAGCCAAATAAATAGGTGAGCCCCAAGGTCTCAGTGAGAGACACTGTCTCAGAAACCAAGATGAACAGCACTTAAGAAGTAATACCCAATGTTGACCTCGGTCCTCCATATGTACATGAACACCAGTACACAAAATGACAAAAGACCAGGAAAAGCTGAAGGGCAGTGGCATCCTGCTGCCTAGTACTTGTCCTTTCTAACCATTTGCTAAGACTTATTCCATCTAGAGAACACTTAACTTCCATTCAGGCACTACTTATAAAGCTAAAGAACATACACAAATACTTGGTGTAACAGTATAGGAATAAGGCTTTCTGATGTGTCAGGTTACTACTGTAAGGTACTGGGTAACATATATACATACATATAATGTTTGTTGTTGTTTTCAAGACAAGGTTTCTCTGTATTGTTTTGGAGGTTGTCCTGGAACTCGCTCTGTAGACCAGGCTGGCCTCGAACTCACAGAGATCCACCTGCCTCTGCCTCCCAAGTCCTTGGATTAAAGACATTAGCCACCAATGCCCAGCTTCTAGATAACATATTTTTATCTCTCTACTGATCCCTGTGGGTGGGAATGCTGTAGTTTTACATTGATAAAGACAACAGTGTCATGATGTAATGTTCGGTTTTGGTACAACCTGGAGATGTCACCTTATAGTATGTAATCTGTTTTCATAAGACAAGTGTCCGGTTGTGTTTTGTGGTACCCACAGAATATGCACAGCCCCTCGTGGGAGGAATTGTGGGCACACTGCATCAGAGATCTACCTTCAAACCTGAAGAAGGAAAAGAAGCAGGCTACGCGGACCTGGATCCTTACAATTCTCCGGTGCAGGAAGTGTACCATGCCTATGCCGAACCGCTGCCCATAACGGGGCCTGAGTATGCGACCCCAATCGTCATGGACATGTCAATGTCAGGGCACCCCACAGCCTCAATTGGTTTGCCCTCCACATCCACTTTCAAAACGGCAGGGAACCAACCTCCTCCCACGTTAGTGGGAACTTACAACACACTTCTCTCCAGGACTGACAGCTGCTCCTCCTCGGGCCAAGCTCAGTACGACACCCCGAAAGGTGGGAAGCCAGCCGCTGCCCCAGAGGAACTGGTATACCAGGTACCACAGAGCACCCAGGAAGTAGCAGGAGCAGGAGGGGATGGGAAGTGTGATGTTTTTAAAGAAATCCTCTGACAGTGGTGCTGCTTTTTACAAAGCATCCATTTAAAGCACATGGCTTTTTCGTTGGTAGTGGTAGTAATAGTAGAATGTATTATGTATCTGTCACTGAAGTGGTTAGGGGGATGTGGTGACCGAGGTACAAGAAACTACTTATCTTGCCATCTGGCTTTAAAGGTGTTACTGTGGGGCACATTTACTGCTTGCCTGTTACATTTCAAACATCCTGTTTGTTACTACTGTAAAACACTATTTTGAATACAGAAAAAGCTCCCTATAATGCACTTCAAAGAACCTGAAAAATCACTGAGTATTTATTACCAATGCTGCAGGTACATTAATGAACTTGAGATGGTTCTGTAAGCCTTGCTGGCAATAATGCATGGTACTGTTCTTGAAATATCAAATGGCTTGAAATTCTCCCTTTGTGAAAGGTAGGTACTATCATGTTCTCCTCCTCTTTCCACCCTGAATCACTGTCTGCAATCTTTTTTCCTCCCAACAGCGATCCATAAACATTGTCCTAGCTGCAGCCATGTGCACTGCTCTGTATTTCCCTAGGAGGGTGCATAGTTGGCGCGCCCTGCCTTGCAGTACACTGGGTGACAGATTCCTCGTGTGATGCCACTCTTTTAACACCTGGTGGCACAGGTCTCACCTATGCTCATCCCACCCAGGACATCTTGTCACCTTGCTCCATGCTGTGTTTATTAATGCTGGTGGCCTCTTTTTCAGTAGGCAGTCTCTTCCCATCGTTAAGTCTACGTCTTCTCATGGAAATGAGAAACAACTTACAATTTAGAAAAGCTGCAAAGGGAATAATCCCTCTGCTTCACTCTGAAGTGATACGTAAACTACTTTACAGAAGAACTGCAGACTAAAATTTAATTAACCTTCGTTTTATTTACACACAAGCCCAAATACAAAAATTTTCTGAGTCCCAAGATATTTTATAATTTTAGTCATGCCTTATTTTAGTTTTCTTCAGTAAACTATTATAAGAAAAAGAAAACCAGCATTAACAAGACCTGATTGATGGCTCAGGCCTGCAATCCCAAATACCTGGGAAGCTGGGGCGAGAGGATCCCAAGTTCAATGCTTTGAGGTCTACAGAGTAAGTTCAGGATTAACCTAGGCCATTCAGGAAACCCTGTCTCAAAGAAAGAAGCGGGTGGGGCTATGTCTTGATGGTTTCTGCTTGCCTACAGCAAAAGTGAGGTCGTAGATTCAATCGTAGTGCTGCCAAAAGAACAAAGAGCCAACATGCATTCTCCAGGTCTGTGTGATTCTGCGGGAAGGGACCTGAGTGTCCTTTGTGTCAGACCTAGCTGACCAATGCCAGAGCATGGGAGCTATGTGATTCTTCCCAGCAACTTACTTGTCACTGCTTGAGCATGACCTGCCCTGCTCTCATTTCAGATAGGGTAAATTAGACACTAATGGATTAGCCTGTAGTGCAGAAACCACCTTCTAATATCTGTTGACTGGCAAGATAACTGAGGAAGCCCACAGATTACACATAAAACTCTGTATTCCTGTCCACAAACCTGTTGTTGGTTTAGTTTTAAAGTATACTGGGCCATCAGGTCCTGGTCATTTTTCTCAGCCTGTACCATCCAGGTTATATATTAACAAACTTCACTAAATTTGGATCGCAGTAAGCAGTATTGACTTAGCTTCCTTCCACAAGTACATCAGTATTTTAAAACACTGCTTCAGAAACAGAACTGTTTCTGCAGGTTCTCTCTTCTGATTTTGTTGTTATTGTAACTTGTCTTTTGTTTTGCAGACTTTGAAGTACAATTTCACTCACTGAAAATTCAATGCATATTTTGTTTCAAGGTAACAAAGCAAAAAGCACAGATATTGAATTTGTACTGAAACCCTGAAGAATGTGTAAAGCACACAGTGTAGTTGTCCCCTTTCAGGTGGGAACAAAGTAAACCATTTGCTGTCTTATTTCTAGTCATGCTTAGTATGCAGAGTAGAATTTTCTTGGAGTCAGATTCCTGTTGGAAGCTTTAAGAGAGACATTGTGAAGATGAAGTCATTTTCCCAAAGAAGCTTGCTATTTGGTATCACTGTCTCAGATAATTTTTCCCAGAACTTTTTAATAATAAGTGAGACCATGTTTTCTGGTAAGATATTGTAAGACTTGATCCATATTGCCACTGTGCTGTCTTTGAACTCTACCAATGGTTTTCATAAAATGTCTAGTTATTTTTACATATTTTCACTTTGCAGATGAAGAGCTGAGCCTAATTCAAATGATTTTTTTCTGGTTTTGTATTTTTACTTTGGTTTTTTATTAGATTGTTTTAGGTTCTCGGTCACTTACATGTCTGATACAGAGCTTTGGAAGACAATCAAGTAAAATGTGAAAGGAACCATTTCTTGACCAAATTCCTTGATATTTTTTTAATTCTCTGACATATTCAATAGTTAAATTGCTGTAACTTATCTGGTTTTCCTTTTCCCAATAAATACACTTATAGAAATATGCAGACAGTAGTGTAGCAAGTATGGCCTTTGGAGGTTTCATAAAATTACACTGACTTGGCTATTACTTGCTCCTTGGAACCAACACAGATAAAGATGGTGTGAATTCTGGTTTGCGTTTTATTAAATGCTGTTTGTAGATCCAAGTAGTTCCTGTTGAATATGCCAGGTCTAGTCCAGTTATTTAATTCATGTTTCACTATTTGCACTTTGCATTGAACAATGGGTTTATTCGCTGTTCACTTAGAGAATTTATACAGTCATGTGTGCGCTTCTCCTGTCTGTCCCAGAGACGAAGCACTAACTGAGGGTGTGGCACAAAGCTGTGGCCAGGAATTGATCAGGAGCTTCTCTGCCTTGGCTCCACATTGTCACCTGGAAAGTAGAAAACCAAGGCGGATAGACCACTAGAAAGACCCCAGAGACCATGGGGGACTCTGGGGGGGGGGGGTTCCAGACCCTCTGCGGAGAACTGATGAAGTTCTTTGTAGGAGTTGTTAATTCTACCTTTTGGTTTTGAACTTGAAGTCCCTAAACTGCAAAATCTAGTGAGTTGGATGGTTCGAGTGTGTTTAGGTTAACTGTGGCACCAATTCTTATTTAGTCCAGCTTATGTGTAGTTTCTCTTGTTTTCCATTTTTGGCACTGGGAATGGTAAAAATAAAACATGTATTGAAATACAGAGGAAGTGAAAATGTGTCAGTTATATTCTCCCAGAATGTATTTTTCTTACCTCGGCATGTACTGTAGTCACTTGATATTTGTATATGTTGCTAGAATTTAGGCTGTTGAAAATAGTGAGATTCTAATGTGTTTTTAATAAATTATGTGTCTTGCTCAGATTATTTGGATTAAATAAAACAACCTTGACATCATGTTCTATAAACTGCCAAATTTCTCAACATTGACAACCATCACATTTTTATGACCAAGATTATAGTGTCGCCGGGCATTGGTGGAGCACGCCTTTAATCCCAGCACTCGGGAAGCAGAGGCTGGTGGATCTCTGTGAATTCAAGGCCAGCCTGATCTACAGAGCAAGTTCCAGGACAGTCTTCAAAACAATACAGAGAAATCCTGTCTCGGAAAACACACACACACACACACACACACACACACACACACACACACACACACACACATATATATATATAGTGCCCGTAGCATCATTTCAAAATGCTCCCATTAGTTTTTCTCCTTTGCTCCCCTGCCACCTTCCCTGCTGCCAGCTCTACCCTGCTGCAAGCCTGACTTACTATGGACAAGAGCCTGGGCAGCCCAGGTCCCTGTGGCCGTGCAGTAATGGGGAAACACCCCATGAACGTGGTGAGTCCACTGGTGCCCAGCTTCTGCTTGCAGTTACAAAGCTGGGCACTATGCCAATATGAACTAGCCTCACTGTCTGACTCCTGCCAAATCAGCAACTAACTTACCCTCCAGCAGAAGCTGCTTTCAGTATTTCATTCTTTTTCTGGTGTTTAGGTCTTTATGTATACTCTCTCTAGGGATGCAAGTTGGTTGCCACTGACATCAACATTTCCAGTAAGGCTTACTGTTCAAAGGACAGTGATTGTCCATTCAACTCAGATTTCTGACAGTATCTGAGGAGGCTATCTTCTTTTCTGTTCTCCTCCCATCATACCCCCAGGAGCTTTTGGTTGTGTGTATTAACAGTTGAAAAGGGAGACTGGTTCACAAGGCTAAGCTTTTGTTCGTGGCTCAGACTTCCCTCACAGGTACCTGAAGCGGCCTGATGAATGTTTGAGTGAAGGCGAAGTGTAGTCGTGAGAAATACTGACTTTTTTCCCATACAAATAAACAATCAACTGCAATCTTAAGGCTTTACAACTTTCATTGTTTTACTTTTCTGATTTGCTCCAAATAAACATTTAAGAGTTGATGAATACATTAGACTGGGAAGATAAGTTTTCTCATTGACCTTGTGTAGCGGTTTTCAATCTGATACTCCTTTAATCCCAGCACTCTGGAGGCAAAGGTAGCCCCTCCAAGTTCAAGGCCAGCCTGAACTACACTGTGGCTTCTAGACCATCCAGAGTTTACATAAACCTTGTATAAAAAATGATACTGCAGGTGCACTGGCACATAATTATAATCTCAGAATTTAGGAGGGTGAGGCAAAAGACCAAGTTCAAGGCCAGCCTAGGCTACTTAGTAAGAACCCATCCCACCTCCACCCCTGTCAAAATCTCAGGATGCTCATCAAGGCGAGTGTGCTTATCAAGCATGTACAAGAAAGGCTCTGATTTACTAACACAGCATGTTATTACTGGTTTAACTGATTACATGGGGAATTTACCAAACCGCTATGAACACCACCACACTGTGCACTCCACAACTAAGTGGTTCTAGTTTCTGCACCTGGCTCCCAGTCATATACCAGGAATAACATAATTGTCTCAGAATGACATGTGACCATCAAAACTAGTGATATCAACTAAGTCACCTGGAACTATTAAAGATGAAGGAACTACAAAAGGTATTTTAAAACACCTCAAAACATTAGCTTGTTTTAAAAACACAGTCAGAACTTTACATACTTCCCTGATAGCTTGACTAAAGGGGTTGTGTGTGTGTGTTTCATAAATATATTCACAGAATCAAGCTGGTAAGTACAAATCACCAGGTAGCAACAGACTTAACATACATAATTGATGAGTTCATTCAACACATTTCAAAATAAACTAAAATTTGCAGTACAAAAATAAAACTAATATTTGATCAGTATGGTCAATCTTGAGTCAAGTTGATTACCATATTTTTCTCTATAATGCTCTTTAAAAAGAGCTGCTCTGCAGTCACATTGTGATACGCATTCTGAAAGAGAAGATGAAATAGGATTGTCATCAGTCCTATTCTCCAGACGTTATCGAAGTGAGATGCTCTGATACCTGAATGTTAACAGCTCCTCAGATGCTAAAGTAAGCACAGATGTTAGTAATAAGTTACATGGACCTTTGTTCCCTGCCTACTCTTTTGCTTGAGAGCGTTACCTAAGTCTCACTTTCCACACAAGCTTTATCTGGACCAGTAAGTTACAGGAAGACCAAAATGTTAAGTCAGAATACACAATGTAAGAAAAGAAGCACTGGGAATCTATTTTTAAAAACTGACCTGGAGATAAGATACCATAAGACCTAGTAGTTGCAGCGTGGGTGGGTGGGTTGGTTGCTTTATCGCACAGATTTCTTAAAGCCCACTTACTATGTAGTAAACAATGACCTTAAGCTCCTGACCTTCACCTTTAAAACAACAGCCCTGAACCTGATGACGTTTTTTTACATCACCTATGTCAGCATTTGACAAGGTGAAACAGGGTAAGTGAAGGCCAGCTTGCATTACAAGGAGAGTCCCTGACCCTAGATATTTTTTAAAAGACCTGAGATACTAACTCAATTGTAGAATGTTTGCCCAGCTTTCATAGGTCCCTGGGGTCAGTTCCCAATTCTGCAAAAATAGTACCTGGAGTTGGCTGTGTAGATTAGTGGTCGGTCCAGTGCTTGCCTAGCACTGGACAGCACCCTAAGTCCAATCTCCAACACCACAATGTTTTTAAATCCATCCTATTGATGGATATCTCCAGGAAGTTGTCTCAGTATCCTGCTCTTGTTTCAATATTCTACATGAGCTGTGGGAAATTAGGACTGAGGGAAAAGCTCAATGTTCGCTCTATGCTTAAACATTTGTCTCAAGTTAGAAAAACAAAAGACAGCAGTAAAATTCAACATGAGTCATTTCTCCAGCTGAGGGATTCAGGGGTTCTTTAACAGCTGGTTTCAAGACCTACTGCAGGATACTTTATAGCAAACCACTCATTTCAAAATTTTAAACAATGTTTTTGTGTCGCTTATGGTGTGTCACTAATCTCCAACAATAGGAAATCCCTTCTCATTCAAAAGGAGATGCCCAGAATCAAGTCCACCAGCATCAGTGTCTGATCAAGAGGATTGTGACCTGGTAAAGAGGTCTGCTACTTTGTTGCCGTGAAGACTCTCATAGGGTTACATGTTTCTAGACACGTCTACTTAACTAAAAATGTGTTCATAATTATTATAACCATAGTGATGATTTGGTGAGTCTATGTGTCTCAAACACACCAGTTGATTAAATAGTGTAAAAAAGAAATGACTCCATCCCTATTGGAATTAGATGAAACAGTCACCTTGAGGTCATCCAAAGAACCTGTGAGACCCATGAGTTAGAAGCTGCTGCCATAGTAAAATGACCTCTGAACCAGAGCCCTGTTCTCAGCCTTCGGAAGCTCAAAAGTGTGAAAAGGGACACACAGGTGGCTGGAGACAAAAGGCAGTGGGCAAAGTACTTGCAGGGAACTGAGTTCTACAGCCAGCACTTTTGTAAAAATCCAGGTGTGGTAGCAAATAACGTGTGATCCCGGCTGTAGATAGATGGTGACCAGCTGGCCAGATAGCCTAGACTGCCTAGTAAAGTCTGTACCAGTGAGAGACTGTTAAAGCAAGGTGAGGGGCTGGAGAGATGACTCAGCAGTTAAGAGCACTGACTGCTCTTCCAGAGGTCCTGAGTTCTCTTCCCAGCAACCACCTGGTGACTCACAGCCATATATAGTGGGATCTAATGCCCTCTTCTGGCACAAAGATGAACATGCAGATAGAGCACCCATACATTAAATAAATCTTTGAAAAAGAGAGGTGAGAGAAAGAAAGTGACACTCCACGTTGACCCCCCCCCAGTCTTCAGAGACACCCACACATGTATTCATCTACAAATGTGATGAACAATTACATACAATTTAAATGGTTTTTAAGAAAGTAAAACAGGAAAATTACCTTATTCATCAAAGACATGGTGGCATTTCCATAGTAGTGTAAAGAACTGTTTGGGTTGTTAAAGTTGTACTTAAAACCGGCGAGGTGAATTTCACTACATATATGAAATGCCAGCGTGATGGCAATAATTCCTGTTGTAGGGTGTTTGGGTTTCTAAGAAGAAATCAGAAACTTAAAAATACAAGTAAGCTACATTCTTCCCAGACATACCTAGTCTGATGAAAATGGAGTTCTAAACATTAAAAAGAGTAATAGTTAAGCCACCATTATGTCCCAAGACTCAAGCCCAAAGAGTACACACTACCCTAAAACGGCATATGCTGTGACTGGTATCTTGGAAAGTCTAAAGTAAAACATAGCTGTAGTTTTGGCTCTGGGGGAGCCGTGAATTGACACATAGCCTGCTGTTGTTGTCTGAACAAAAACAAAACCTCATGAGTCCAGCTCCTGTGGAAAAGGCAAAGCCTTCGGAGAATTGAAAATAACAAAATGTAAGGACACTCTGTTTACTATGGCCTCATGACCAGCACGTTTTTTCTTCTCTTTCTAGCCTTTGAGATGTGAGCACACTAACATACTCCTACAATGGTTGCTACCCCCAGCATATGTAGGAACTTCTGAAATTGAGCTAAGAGTCTCTTCTTCCCAAGTGGCATGCCTCTGGTATTTCATGTAGCATGAAGTTGACTAACACAGAGTGCTTGAGACAATTCTTTCTTACTCTGAGTAGCTACACCCTTGTCCTGAAGCTATTCTGTACCCAGGACTGCTGGGTAGCCCACTAGCCATGCTGGCCTCGCTGTACAACACTGAAGATGAGGTTGTAAGAAATGAATTATTGAGCCTTTGGGGAAAAAAGTATGTGAAGATCATACAAAGACAAAAGAAACCAAAACACATACTTCTCACTCTTTTTTTGCAACCTATAAAACATCAGATAATAATCCATTTGACGTCTAATTTCTGAACACAATGATAGTCCTAAGAAAAATACCATCTGAACCATGGTTTTTAGCAGTTTCTGAAAGCTTTAATGTCCCTCTGTCCCCTTAGCTGGATCTTTAGTTTGAAAGTATGTGATGGTTCATACATACCTGATTTTCAGGAAACACTTTGGGAAAATGAAGCAGTTTATGAGCTGCTTCTCTGATAATGTATGGATCTAATATTCTGATTTGGTATGGTTCATAGATCAAGTTTAAGGCTGGCATCTTCCAAAAGCCATTAGTGTTCTGAAATAAAGGACACAGAAAAATGGGATGTTGTGAATGTATTTTACTTTAAGGAGGAAATACTGAAAGTAACCTGAACCAAATAGTTTTGCTAACTTACTACATTGTTTCCTCTTGTTACATCCAAAAGCCACCTTAAGTCCTGTGTCTTAAAGACAACAAGAACTGCTGTGGTATTGGGATCATTGTGAGCAGGGTCTGAAAAAACAGACTCTGGATAAAAAAGCCTGAAGGTGGTCCTTCTCCCAACATCCTCTTCATGTCCTAAAACAGGACCGTTATTCATTCTGTGGGTAGTAAGACAACGATATACACAGGATGAGTAGAGTGTGAGTACTTTTTGCCAAGTTCTGAGACTTCAGAATCGAATGGGCATCAGTCACTATCCCCGCACTCAGAAGCACCAAGACAGTTGATTAATATCCTACAGCAATGACAGGGAAATAATTCCTTTTTATGAGATAGCCATCTGTATTCAAAAACTATGACATCAGGCAGTCATTTAGTCTGACCAAAGTTCAGTTCCCAGCACCTATATATGCTGGTTCACAACAATCCCTAAATCCAGTTTTAGGGGACTTCCGCTCTCCACAGGCAACAGGCACACACACAGTGTACTTCCATGCATGCATGCAAGCACACACATAACATAAAAGTAAATCCTTCTTTAAAAATATTCTGAAATTAAATAACTACATAAAAATTCTGTATCACACTCAGCACAATTAGACAAATTCCTTTTGCTACTGAACTATAAACAGTAAAAAGATCTACTGTCGAATTAGTGAATGTTGAAGGCCAACGTTAGACAATCACTGTTTGTGCGTACAATATAAAGGCAATCTACAAACAAAGGGATGTTTTGTTTCCAAAACAATGGTCCTTGAAAGGATAAATACTGTTTTACCCTTTTGCCACTAACTCCATGTAATACAAGACACTTGCTTTCAATATGTACCGTACAAAGACTTGCCGAGGTTCTAAAAATTATCAGAATTAAACATCTATAAGTGGGAAAATGGATAAATCCAACTGTTTTATAAATCTTCATGGCTTCTTCAGAGTGGGTAACCAACAGAAAGTAAAATGACCTTGCTATGCAGAAATCGGCTTGTAACCCAGGCAACTTCCAGACACACTGCTAGGTCTTCCCAATGCATGATCACATCATAGGGTAGTAGTACAATGGCTGCTTAAAGTTCACAAGCACACAGGGGGAGGTGGGGGCATACAGAAAGGGAAAGGATAGAGAGAGAATATTACCCAGATAACAACCTTGCCTCCCCTTCCATTCAGACAATGGAGATAAGTATTTCCCCTACATGATGTGTCAGAGACAACTGGCAGCTGTAACCATAGTTACATGGTCTCCTTTCCATTACAGAAAATGAGTCACCTTTAAACTCGACCCCATGGCCTCTTTTTATCATACCAGGCTCACTATTCATTTCAACTGCCTTAAACATATGCCCTCTTAGATTCTGTAACCACCTCCAAGGCCCAGCTCATTTTCAACTGCTCAGAACATTTCTCAATAGTTGACTCTACTGGCTTCTCCCTCTCATCTGTCATTCCCTCCTCAATTCATTCCAGTTGGCCTTCTTGCCATATCCTACCTAAAGCTTTTGTCAAGGGTGACAGTGACTGCTGGATTGACAATCCAACAGGCCCCCTTCTACTCTTGCACAACTCTTCATCATAATAGGAACTAGCTGATCCCTCTTCTAAAACACTTAGCCCTCTTGTTGGCAACTGGAGTCACCTTGTTTTCTTCATGCCTCCTTTTTTCTTGTTCAACCTCTAAGTCTTTTTTTTTTGCGGTTTTTTTCAAGACAGGGTTTCTCTGTATTGTTTTGGAGGCTATCCTGGAACTCGCTCTGTAGATGAGGCTGGCCTCGAACTCAGAGATCCGCCTGCCTCTGCCTCCCGAGTGCTAGGATTAAAGGCGTGTGCCACCAAGGCCCAGCTCAACCTCTAAGTCTTAAGAGCTCCAAACTTCAATGCCAGACCCCCTCATGTGTTTCTCCAGCACTCCCAAGGCCAGTGATTCTCAACCGGTGGGTCAAACGACCCTTTCACAGGAGTTGTATATCAGATGGCCTGCATATCAGATATGTATTATGATTCACAACAGTAGCAAAATGACAGTTATGAAAAGCTTAACCTCTTTATGTGACTGTCCACTTACCTACTACAATGTCAAAGACATCTCCAAGATAACTAATAATACAGAAATTTTCTCTTATTTTCTTCTGAACCTGAGCCTAAACTTGTCCCCCAAACTTGCTAATGATACCGTAAGTCCCCAGTCATCAACCAGCGGAGCTGAAAAGAGTCAGAGATACCCAGAGATATCCTTTATTTGTAGTACTTTATCTAATAAGGCAGCAAATCCTCATGCCCCTTTTTCTGTAACCCAATTCCAGTCTGCCCACTCCTCTTCCCCTTCCATGGCAATTCTGCCCATGTATCTACTGCCTGAAGACAGCAACTTCTCCTGATGCTTCATGCCCTACCTTGTCCCTCATGCTCCATTGTCTGCTGCAGCCAGAATACTTTTAAGACATAACCATATTTTAAGTTCCTATCTAAAAGGCTTCAAAGGCTCCTTGTGGACTTAAAATTAACATTCAATCTTCTAATCTTAGAAGTCCTGCATAGTCTGTTCTTTGCCCACCTCCTTAGTTTCTGGTTAGACCATTCTCTGAGCTTGGATTATCTGCTACTCCTCACAAAGTCAATATGGAAGCCTCCTAGGGACCTGAAAAACACATCCTCTCTGTCTGGACTGCTCCTCCATTGCCTTCATATATCTAGTCCTACATGGGTCCTTTGGTCTAGCTTAAATCTCTCCTCTAAGTGGTCACCCTTTCCCAAGTAGTCACTTGATAATTCTTTATCATCTCTCTTATTTGTCTGTATTAAAACTCATAATATCTTCCTTTTCACTTTCTTTAGCATGTAAACATCACAAGAACAAGAACACTCTTATCATGCTGATTGCCCCTGTGGCTATATTTGTCCCTGGCATATTAAGTGGACTTAATAGGTATTTGCTAAATCGGTGATCTGAAATCTAGTCTACTGTACCCAGCAACCAAGGCAGAAAGCTGTACAATCAGAGGCATGCATGGTCATTTCTAAAACACAGCTGTGCTAGAGAGGGAAAACATTATTTTCGAGCAACTCTAGGTTAGCAAACAAGAGATATATTTACCTTATTATTACATCATAGGAGTCGATTTTTTCTCCTAATGTCTTATTCTTCAACACTCCTCCATTACCAACCACCACACATCTTTTACACGGCACACTGTTGGGCAAATAGACATGAACAAGACTGAGAAATCACATTTTTGATTTGGAGTGTTTCCAAGAACCTGTTCCTGCTTTCAGGAACTAAGTGAAATTTCTTCCATCATCCAAGTAGAAAAATAACCAACTGTGCTGGTGGTCCAGAGATTCGGGGAAAACTAATGCTATTGGGGGAAGTACATCATCACAGTTGACAATCAACCCTTAGCGGCTAATGCACACATTCCATTCTCTCCTGTGTTCCTTAAAATCACCATTTTAGAGAGAGAAGCCTGATAGCTCCTGATAGACAAATGAAGAAATACATTTTGGAGAAAAAAATGTATCATTCAAAGTCCAAACTCCAAACAGGTGGGACTAGCATTTGGTTCTAAACTTTCAGAGTATCAAGGTGTTCAGTCAGCATTAGCTTGCTGTTACTAACATAGCTGGAATTGTATCACTATCTGCATTTTAAATCAGTGTTCCCCATTCCTTATCTACCCCCTGGCTTTCTCTTACATCATATGTGTGGAAATGGCGGGTTTGGAATGTGGTAGAGGGAAGGCAGCTTTCTCCACCCTGCCTGGCTTCACTTCAATTTCTCAAACACTAGCTGCTTCTTGGTGTTTCACCCAAACACAATGTTTGCTGTGCTTCCGAGAAAGCTTGAAGTAAAGCACAAAGGCGACTTCCAGGACAGAGCCCAACCTTGGGGTGCCACAGCATTGGCCCTCAGCTGATGTGACCCAGGCTTGGGGTTTTGTTGCTCTGACCATCGTCCACTAGTCCTAAGACATGACAGATCTCTAGGAGATGAGGCTGCAGAAGCAGAGTTCTCATAACAGGGGAAGCCTAAAGGCAAACGTGTTCCTCAAGCAAGCAGCAGAGCAGTCAACCCCAAAACTCTAAGGCGTGTAAAACCTTCATGTGTAGCAAAACTGTACAAATGCTGTGTAATATTTAAACCTGGAGAATGTAGGAGTGGAGAAACATTTTTTAAAAACCATACTGGGTTAAGTGATGATGTATGCAATCTATAGTCAAGTTTACCCTTTTTAGAGACTTACATATTTCAATGAATTATGTCATTTTAACACTTGTATTACAAAAGCACTTCTAAAAATATAAAATTCCTTGCCTATTTTAATTACATTTATTCTCTCTCAGTCTTGTGGGGGGCGCACAATTGTGGTGATCAGAGGACAATTTCTGGGAATTGGTTCTCCCGTTCCATTATGTGGATGCTGGCATTGGTGTCTACTTCACCAAATAAGAGCAGGAAGAAACAGTTTTGTGGGTATCAGGAATTTGGGGGCTGAAAAACAGGGGGCATTTTATTGTCCAATAAAAAATGTGCCCAAATTTTCCACATGACCACATGACTGATACATGTCACAATATGTTCTAGAGGGGTCTTCTTAGGTTTGTATATTTTAGGAAATTAACCTGTCTGGAAAGTAAATGCAATCTGGGTGCATTATGTGAAATTTCCAAATAATCAATAAAAATATTGTGTTGAAAAAATAAAGTAGTAGTTCACACATTAAGGAAGGAAAGAAAGAAGAAAGAAAGGAAGGAAGGAAGAAAGAGAAAGAGAGGGGGGAGGGAGGAAGGGAGGGAGGGAGAAAAGGAAGGGAAAGAAAGAACCTCTCCCTAGAAGTGTTTATGAACAAATGTGACCTCAATACAAACTGCAGGAAGCCCAGCTCACCAAAGCTCTGTGCTCCTCACTGCTGGAGCCAAACCCCCTTTTCAGAATATTATATCTGTTCTCCTGGGGAGATCTGTCCCGTAACTGGGCTCCACAGGGAGCAATTCCCTCTCCAGAAACTCAGAGTCAGTCCTTTCCCAGGCTGATCCAGCAGAAGCAGGCTCCACCCCCACCTCCCACTGGAAGTCCTGAGCAGGCATGGACACCAGCCGGGGTGGCTCGGAACAGACAGGTTAGAAGCAACAGCTTGAATGGAGATGAGGTTAGAGCATCCCTAACAGTCTAACCCTTCCCCTCCACTGAAGACTGAGAGCCACTTTCCATCTTCTGTCCAGGTAAGAACTGCTTTCCCCTAAGGGCGGGGAGTAACCTCTGGACTCCAGCTTTTATACTGGCCTGGAGCCCCTATCTGATACCAGACTACTGCCTTGACTACACCAACCCCACAAGGGCAAGGGCTGTTGGGAGTGAAAGCTACCAGCATGTCCCCTGGGACTTACACCAGGGTTTCAACAAAGGATTCCTGCCTCATCAGCTCCAGCTCTGAAGATGATTCCTGAAAGAGGTCACTTGGCTCAGTTCCATACTGGACTAGTGCCCTAATGCTTCAATGCCCAGACAAGCTGAATTGTCGTATTCCTAGGGTGTGTGTACCTCCTTACGGGACTAGGTTGTATGTGGCATCATGACCTAAGGATTAAAGACATGCCATCTCACTGATCCCCCTTCAAAGTGGGAGTCCTAGACCTCCCACAGACCTTACTAACACTGTCAGCCACGAGAACGGAGGATACAGGGTTCAGCAGATCTCCTGGGGGGGGGTTCTCTGTGTAGCCTTGGCTGTCCTGGAACTTCCTCTGTTAACCAGGATGACCCCCAAAACATAGAAATCTGTCTGCCTTTGCCACTGGGGTGATGGGACTGAAGGAGTGTACCACCACCACCTAGCTCATCATGTTTACTTAACACAGTCTTCATATACAAATAGCGGCAGTGAATTTGAATGGTGTCATTTTTCTTGCCTGTCATTCCAATTAACCCACTTACTCATTTATAAGTGTTTTCAAAATCAGTTTGGTTCTCACATTACGTGTGTGAAAGTTATTTTCCTAAAGTGTCTGGAGAAGCAGGTTTCTTTTACTCTCCCCTGGAAAAAAAAAGTAAGGAAATGTAAAACCCTCCTCCCCCCAAAAGTCTTATCTATAGACTGTCTGAACTTGTAAAGGAAAAACCTGAACAGCTGCTGAGGAAGTAGGGTGAAGATTTACTTCCCCCCCCCAGGGGAAAGGCATGTTTCTCCTCAGATCAGGCAAAACCAAGAGTCTCTACTGTGCAGGGCCACTACCCCTGGAAGAGTCGTTACCTCACACAATATACAGAATGCAAACTGTAGTTACTATTACAAACGACCTGCGATGTGTGTTCATTACTGTCCTTTCAGATGTTCTCTTTTTACCTTGGCAACATGCAATACGTTAAAACATGTCACTCTGTCTTCAGTGTAAGAATCTATGGCAGATGCTACTGGCCATGCTCTCAGTAACCCAGAAGCCTGTTTATATAAGCCTACAATGGAGAGCTCATTATCCCTGACACTGATTGGTCTAGTGGCAGCCACGTGACTCAGATAGTAGGGTAATCTGTCAGATGGTTTCAGAAAAGATTCTGCCACTGGAAAGTGAATGGCACAAAGTAAAACATTATTTTTGATTTGCCCCTTCCTTTTAGCTTAGACACTGACAGTGGGTGACATAGGGTGTCATGAAAGACAAAAGAACCACAGAGAGTCCACCTTGGATCCCTAACACCATTGAGCCACTATTAAACACAACCAGAGACACACCATAAAGATGCTGAGACTGTACATGGTCTAAATTCAGGAAGCCTCCTTCAGACAACTTGGGTGTAAATTGGCAACCCCTGGGGTTATGCACTTTATACTCAGTGAAGCCATAGGCTGGTACCCTACATGAATCACAAACCTGCAGATCTGAAACCACACATGAGCGTTAAGACATGTTCAGTCAGCAATCTATAGTCCTTGCAGCCAAACCTAAATTAACGTGCAATTAGGGATTGAGGCCAGCTTCTGGACTCATGTGCCCTTAGTGCCTCTAGGAGCTAGGCCTGGTCATCTGACCTCTCTCATCTCGGTTTATGTGAAGTACAGAAACTAGTTATGTCTTCTGACCTTCCACGTTGTGAGATTATTTTGTTTTGTTTCTGGACATGGGCTCTTTGCTCCAGCCTGGGGAGCCCCAGCTCTTGTATCTTTTCTCAGCATCTGTGCAGAGATGAGAGAAAACAGGTAGTGGTTGCCCAATGCTTCTCCCACAAATGGCCTATCTGTTGGTCACAACTTCCTCTGCCCTCAGCTCCCTCGACCCTCCACAGGCATCGGGGTAAACAACTCTTCACTCAGCAGGATGTTGGCGTGTGGACGGGATGCAGACCTTCGCCATGCCTATAGCGACCCTAGCAAGCTTCTGTTCTTTACAACTCTCCTCATAGGCCCCTGCTCTGCCTCTCCATGGTAACCAATCAAACCCAGCTCTGTCGAGCTGACATAATGGGTTCTACTTCACTGAGCAGCTAGACAGCTTTTACAACCCATCACCCATTAGTTGCCAACGGACTTAACACAGGTGTTTCCCTTAGTAAGCTATTTACATGTAGTTACTGTGTAACCACCTAGGCTGCAGGACTAGAGCATTCTCCATCTGGTGGGTGGGGGTGGAGAGCTAGTTGGTGCATTTTAAGTGGGAGCTGCTGTTCTGCATGCCAAGGCTTCTGTGGCTCCTAGCTGAGGAGGGATGAAATTCCATACGAGAGATTGCAATATCCCTGGGGCAAGGACCAGGCTAGAGCAAGGAAGTCATAAACTTAGACCTTGTTTGAAGTGTTCCTTGCAGTTTCCTTGTAATGTCCATCTTTGACGAAGCTCTCTGGGCATGGAAAGGATGCTCTCTGGACTTGGGTGAAGAGAGAAAAACAGGAGCAACACAGAGAAGCATGGCTGGGCTATTCAACTCAGTTGACTTCAGAATTCCTCCATGGCACAGAAACACTTGGGAACCAAAGAGATGACAGGGAAAACTTCTATCTCCACCCTTAAGACAGGACATACACTTTTTATCTACTTAGTATGGGACAGGGTACTCAGTTCTGTCTTCTCACTTTATGGGTACTGGAGGTTGAACTCAGGGTGTCAGGCTCGGCAGCCATTTTACCAGATGGGCACACAAGGACCGAAACAACAGGATAGCATCGCTCATCATCTTTCTAGTCAGGCATGGCCAGTGCGTGAGTTTACCACGCGGGATGTCATCAATGGTTGCCAGTGCCTGTTTAATGATCAGTTCTGAGGGAGGGAGAAGGAAAAGCCAGCCTGAGAAGCTTCAGCTTGTGAGACTCACCAATTCCCATGAAATAAGTAATGACTACATGGCAGACGGCAAGCCTCCAGCTGAGGCTGCTAAATTTGGAGCTGGCAAGAGATATAGCTCTCCCATGCTGCTACCCCTGCCTCTAGCTCATCACTAGCTACAATGAAGAACTGTGTACGGCTTCTTGAGAGGTCCATAAGGAAGAGGGCAAGCCTCAAGGAGTGGTGCATGCCCTTCTCCCATCCCTCCTCTCTTCTGGCAGGAATGAAGATATGATGGGATATTGGACCCTAAGGAAATAGCCATGTACTGAGGAACAGTAGTGTCCAACACAAAGAGGCCTGGGCACTGATGACCACAGAATTGCTAGGGAAACTCTGCAGACTCGTGCATGTAAAAAAACTAAGAGAAAGACAAATGTACCCAACCTATAAATGTAACCGGAACTTCACATTTTCCCCTTCACAGAGGACTCTACCAAAGAAAGCATCAGGCACTCTTGACAAAGTTCTACAAACCAAACTAATGTAGTCTTAAAAAGTGTTTATACTTGAAACAGCAACAAAAGTACTATTCTTTTCTGGAAATGAGAGAGAGGATAAAATGAAGGGAAAAGGTTCAAGTGGGTGAATTAGCCATAGCCTGATGGGAATGGGAGCATTTGTAGCAATGAAAAGGAAGCAGTGGGGACAGCCAGACCAAGTCGGTAAGAAAGAGGAACAGGCTGAAGACCTCTCTTTGCCCCAGATATTCTACGAAAGCAGCGGAATCAAACAATCTAGTAGTAACACTAAATGGAGACAAGATTGCAAATTCTACTCACAAACACTCGATTTTAACAGTTTGCGCTTAAAGAACTGTTTTCAGAACCCTGTTGAAAACCCTTACAGGGTCTGTTCTTACTCTCTTCACAGACATCCAGGCACTGATGCTGCAGCTACATCTGCTGTTATCCTAGCTCTGCCACTTCCCAGCTAGAACAAGTGTCTGTCTAGCTGTATGTTCACCTTTTGCAAAATTAAAGAAAACTGACCTAAAGCACTTAAGCCAACCATCTACACAAATCAAAACTCTACAAAGGAAAACTATGTAAAATGTGAGGTAGGTGCGTGTGTGTACTCATGTGCACGCATGCGTACATGTGCATGCAAAACTCTTGATTATGTACTGGCTGGTGGTGATACACGCCTTTAATCCCAGTGCTTAGGAGGCAGAGACAAGCACATCTCTGAATTTGAGGTCAGCCTGTGTACAGAGTAAGTAACCTGTCTTAAAATACCAAAAGCAAAATTAAAAGAAAAATTCTTGATATGCAACCACAGTTAAAACTGGTCAGTAGGTGGCAGAGTTTTGAATTACAAATTACAAGCAATGGCAATAAACTAACACCACACCATACATATTCTACATTTAATAATCTGAGTCTCCTACAGACCTGACAGATCTCAATAAAAGGTCCAGCTCTGTGCTATAAATTCTTTCTCGACATTCATTTCTCTGTCCAATACACCTCCTACACTCCTTAAGTAGTACTACTATGCTTTTAGACAGAAGGAAATCTATCATTTTCTTTCGTAAGTATAGGTTTGAACTTCACAGACCATTTTCATTCTTTTTTGTTTGTTTTTTGTTTTTCGAGACAGCGTTTGGAGCCTGTTCTGGAACTTGCTCGGTAGACCAGGCTGGCTCCGAACTCACAGAGATCCACCTGTCTCTACCTCCCAAGTGCTGGGATTAAAGGCGTGTGCCACCAACACCTGGTCCATTTTCATTCTTATACCGTCCCATGGTCCAAATTCTAAATTGTATCTTCAAACTTTTTTAACAAGCCCACCTTTGTAAAAAGTAAGCCGGTTTCTATGGATTATCTGGGCAGGAAATTTTTCTACACACTAAACTAAATGTATAGCTAGAAAACTATATCTAAGAAAGCTGTCTGCTTCCTTCAAATGGAATTCTCAACAAAAAGGAACGGCACTGCTTCCAAAGTCCAACATTCAACATTTTAAACAAGAAGAGGCTATCAGGAATCCTTGGGACTTGGACAGAAGGTGTGGGAAATGACATGGAAGGAAGCTCTGTACTGGTTAGCAGTGCAAGAGAATTCATTCTTTAGTACAAAGTAGTTAGAGATGATGAACATGGGTCAAAAATACCATGGGTGGGAACCCCTATTGCTCATCATCAAAACACTCTGAAAAACTGAGCCTGCCAGTGTAGCAACTTCTACATAATTTTACAGCTTGTTTATTTCCAGGGGAATAAGAACAGAACTTTGGAGTTTTAGTGACACACACATTCAGTAGAATCACCCCGTGTATACTCACTTTGCGTCACTTTAAATAAAGCTGAAAGTCAGAGAGAAGGAAATGGACTCACTTGTCAAACTCATCAAAGAGAGCACAATTCTGCAGCTTTGATAGGGCCATTCGAAAATATTCCGCTGGAAAACAAGTACAGCATTATGAACAGAAGGCTGTCAGTCATACCTTCTTAAGAGTCAGCAAGTCACCCAGCTCCCCAACTACCAACTCTTTCTAAGCACTATGGCCATATTGGAGAGGATCAGTGAAAAATGACAACTTACCTACAGTTTGCTCACAATACTAAAAAGCACACTCAAAATAGTAAGTAATCTGAAGTTATCTACCAAGAGTTATGACCAATATAAAACCAGTCATATATAGTAATAAAAATTATCAGTATCAGATGATTCTGAACCATAAAATAGAACTCAGTGAATTTAAACCAATTAGTCAAAATCTCTGATACGTGTGTGTGTATGTGTGTGAGTGTATATATGGTATGCACTGTACCAACTAAGCGACATACTAGCTTTCTGCAAATTATATATAATGTATGTATGTATGGACATATATATAAAAATTGTAATCAGATCATTGAAAAAGAGAAATATCACAAAATTATAACTGGCACCACTTGGGTTTTTAAGGTCTCCCCAAAATCTGGGTCTTTAAACTACATAACCCCCAAAGCTTTCCGTGAGCAGAGGGAAAATTGTTGTGTTGTTAAGAGATGGAATAATTCCCTCTCGATTTAATGAAAATAAAAGCCTATTGGTAAGATTAAAATATTAAAGCTCTAGACTGTGCTGATGAACTAAATAAGAGGAGAAATGGGGTTAGGGAAATGAGGTTAGTAAAGTGCTTGTTTGCAAGTATGTCAACCTGAGGTCAGTCCCCGAAACCCACATACACAACGTGGTGGCCTGTGCTTGCAGTCATAGCACGGGGAGGCTGTGACTGGAGATACAGACCCCTGGGGCTCACAGACTTGTCACTCTAGCTTACTTGGTGAATTCCAGGCCAGTGAAAGACCCTAAATCAAAAAGGGGGCGGGTCTGAGGAACAACACCTGACGTTATTCTTTGACCTTCACATGTTTACATGTATATGCAAACATGTCTACTCATGCTGTATCCATCTACACATGAACACACACAAAGGTAAATGAAGGGACAGGGAAGAAGTTACCCTTTAAGGTTATCCTAATTCTAAGTCGGAATATAGTCATGAGAGCCCGGCTAAGCCCCACTGTGACAGAACAAAGGCAAAACCATTTTCTCCAGTACTACTACTACTACCACAAAAGACAACAAAACAGAAATCCCTGCCACTTTTGACTCCACACTGCCTCTAGGAAAGTTTTTATGTCTAAAACTTGGAATTTTTTTATCCTGACCCCAAGTCTTATCTACTCTTAATCGTGGCTCTCCTCAAACAGCACTAAAATTAACAGGCAGGATAAGAACAATGTGACTGACCTGATGCCTTTATCCCATAGGGCAAAATAAAATTAGTGGTACCATACTTGGAAGCAATCTTTTTAAAATCAGCTGCACACAGAAATGGGTAAAACTGAGGAAACCTGGAAGGAAATAATAAAGCATAATCTTGTCAAATGTTTGCTGTGTTTTTAGACATCTACGCTCACAACTGAAACTTAAGTAGTGGATGGCTTACATTGTACAATTTTTTAAAAATAATTTAAGACAATACTTAAATGTTAGAACTACGCAATTTTCAGGTACAGGAACCAAAAATATGTTACAGTGTAAGTAAAACCACACTCTAAGTGACAAAGTAATAGCCAGGAAATTATGTAGGTAATTGGTGCTAAGCCATTCCAAAATTGAAAAGTACCATACACATAAACTGTACCAACTATACAAACAAAGATATACTGAAAGCTAAACTTAGCTAGAGAATTCAACTCTGCCCTAACGGCATTAAACTAAGCTGTACTCAAGAACAGAACTTGTGGACTCTGTCTTGTTGCTACATGCTCTGACTTCAAAATGTGTGCTGTGACTCTCACACTGCTCCTTGGGATGTCTGATAAGGACAGCAAAAGCCATTGTGGTACCCAGCACAGAATATGGTAATAAGTCATCACCTGTTTAATAAGTGCATGGATGAATTTTAACTCCAAATCAATCTTTAAAGGACCATTACGAAGTAGGAACAGTGCTTATTTGTGTTATTAAAGAGAGGGAAACAGTCTTAAAGCTCCCTATAATAATAAGATACTTTCTCCCACCAGGAAGACAGGAAGTTATAGAGGGGTCCGGCCAAGCTTTACACCAGGAAGACGGGAAGTTATAGAGGGGTCCGGCCAAACTTTACACTGCAGGCCCCACACAGGCACTATCTTTCTCCCTCCCTCAGTTTTGTACTAATATTTAAAAGCACAGGTAGAAACCAGTGTGAGGCCAGGATTTCCCAATGCTGCACAACAAATGGAATTAGCAATCGAGTGGAGAGTGACATGCCTGCAATTTTATCCTGGTCGTTAAGAGCTGTATTACAAACTGACATTGATCGGGCAGAGGAAACGGGTGAGAGACTAGCATTCCCTGACCAAATGTATGTCCGAGTTTGGCATTGGTAGTGTCAGCAGCCTTAAGGGCCAGCCACCCTGCAAAAGTCATTTCTAAATCAATGTTGATCCCCAAGTCCAGGACCTACACTGGGCAGGGCTAAGTGCCAGGACACCAGTTCATGCTTCCGGGCTTGGGGAGGGGGGGCACTCAATATCATCCCCATTCTCTTGGAGAATCTCTTCTCTTGGAGAAACCAAGCCCTAGAGTGAAGCTCCAGTAAAGGGCTTTCTCCTTCAGAGCTGGTCAGAGCTGGTCACAGCAGTGGTGACTAGTAACTAGTATGTGTTTCTAGTCAAACTTCTATTCGTTGCTTACATTTACTTGCCAAATGATATAATTATTTGGCATAATATCTCAGACATATTAAAAGCCCCAATAAGTACTAATTTTACCTTAGTAAGTATGATGATCATCAAAATGTATTTTATCACAATGCGATTCTGCAATTGTTTTTCCTACAAATGTCTGCTAGTTAAGCCCCTGCTGGGGAGAGGGGGGGAGCCACAGGCCACAGATGACAAAACTGCAATCTACACAGAAGCCTGATTCTGAGGGAAGGAGTCCTCCACACAGCCCAGGTTCCTGCGCAGAGAGCTTCCTCATATCTGAGACAGTGGCATTGCTCAATGGAACATCCTTGGAGAGTACTGTGCAAATGACCAACACATGCCTACATGTCTGTCCCTTTAACTGCAGTCTTAGAAGCTCATTTAGCAGTCTTGAACAAACAATGTAACCTTGGGGAAGGGTCTCAAAAAACACATTATACAATTAAACATGCCTAACCGATTTGCCACTGCTTTTGTTAGCTAAAAGTGGCAGTGCACAGGGAAAGAAATATTTGCAGATGGAAGAATAAACTACAATTTCCAGCAGCCACAATGATCCTGAAACTATACTCAGAGCACTCTGGCTCAATGCACAAATGCAGGCTACTCAAGTTCCTTACACACTTTCTTATACATGCAGTGTCTACCGAGGACCAATATTTGAATGAAAAGGGTAAACAGTGTGAAAATGACCACAAACACATCATGGCTACAGTTTTTTGGTCTATTCTTACTTCAGGAGAGAAGCAAAAGCTGGCCTTTTTGGACATTTCTTGAGAGTTTTATCCTTTATTTCCACAGGTGGTACCCTAGAAGAAAGAAATAGTGGAAGTGAGAAGTCAAAACCAGGAATCCTGCCTGAAGAGGGATGTATACACCAGGACTCCAGTGCTGACCGGCCTTGGAGGCAGGGGTCAAAGACACACACACACACACACACACACACACACACACACACACACACACACAGTCCTGATGAAGGCCATGGTGACCTAAGGACCTGGGAAGGGTTACCACACTGTGGAAGCCAAAATCACACTTTAGTTTTAGAAGTCCTCAAAGGCCTTCAAAAGCACACAGCCCAAGTATATGTGGCTTTCACGCCCAAGTCTTATGTGAGAACACCCAGTGACAGCACACAGTGTAAACACCCAACTGAGCAGCCTGAGCGTACCGCTGCCTTGGGGGTGTCACAAGTCACACCACTGAGCTTGGTATCTCGCTGTCCTCGGTTCTTGGCTCACGTGGTTCCTAAATGGAGTACTTATCTCCATGACTTATAAGGCTATTGTGAGGGCTGGAGAGATGGCTCAGTGGTAAGAGCACCCGATTCTCTTCCAGAGGAGCCAGTTTCAATTTCCCAGGACCCACATGGCAATTTACAACTGTCTCTAAGTCTGTTCCAGGGGACCCAATGCCCTCATACAGACATGCCTGCAGGAAAAACACTGATGTGCATAAAATATAAATAAACTATTTTTAAAAGGGTATTATGAAACACAACAGGGAAAGAAAATGGGGTGGGGGTGGGAGGAAAATGTCACTTTTTTTTTTTTTTTTGGATTTTACGAGACAGGGTTTCTCTGTATTGTTTCGTAGGCTATCAGTCCAGCCCAGCCTCGAACTCACAGAGATCTGCCTGCCTCTGCCTCCCGAGTGCTGGGATTAAAGGCATGCACCACCACCGCCCGGCCAAAATGTCACTTCTTTAATTATCAATTATATGAAGAACCGATGCTTTAAAAATTAGTTTAAGTGACTGAATGAGAAAAAGAAAAATAGAAATTTAATCAGTTCTTTTCTGCTAGCAACAGGACTGGATCAGAAGAGATTGAGCCTTTTTGTACACAAGTATTTTTTTTTCTTTTTGGGGGGATTTTTCAGACAGAATTTCTCTGTGTCATCCTGCTGTCCTGGAACTCACTCTGTAGATCAGGCTGGCCTTGAACTCTCCAAGATCCATCTGCCTCTCAAGTACTGGAATTAAAAGGTGTGTTGTCACCACAGCCAGCTTAATTTGTTTTAGATTTATTTTCGCTCTTTTATGGGTGTTTTACCTGCATGTACATACGTGTACCACATTCACTCTTGATGCCTAAGGAGGTAGTGAGCCCCCTTGTGAATGCTGGGAAGCAAACCCAGGTCCTTTGCAACAGCAAGAAACACGGTCAACCACTAAGCCAACTCCCCAGCCCTAATCTTCAGTTTTTTAAGGGTAAAATCTCCATACTTAGAACTAGGAAGTAATTACACTAAGAGGCTATAAGTCCTTATATACTGAGATATTTTGAGAATACTGCAAGGGCGAGGGCCACTTGGTTTGTACATAAGGATGACACACAGATATGGTAGAGAAGCACAATTATGAAGACTAACTTTAGGTGGCTATGGAAACAAAGAATCATCTTTTTTATTTTCATGTGTATATGTGGTATGCATATCACATATGTGTGTGTGTGTGTGTGTGTGTGTGTGTGTGTGTGTGTGTGTGTGTGTGTGTGTGTGTAAGTGGAGGCCAAAGGTTGATATTGAGAATCTCCCTTGATTACTCTTACTCTTTTGAGGCAGAGTCACTTACTCAAGCCAAGACTTCCTTAATAAGGCAGTCTTGTGAGCCAGCTTGCTCTGGGGGATTCTTTTGTCTCTACCTTACAAAGCAGGGATGGCATGTGAGCTCCCACACCAACTATGCATTCTGGGGACCCAAACTCTGGTCCTCTTAATTGCATGGCAAGTGCAGTAACTGCTGAGTCATCTCCTGCTGGTGTTGTGTTGTGTGTGTTTGTGTAGGCCACAGAACCACTTTGGCTATGGTTTCTGCTTAGATGCCAATCTACCTTGTTGTCTTAGAGTCTCTCACTGACAGACTATGGGTTACGCTGGGCCCAGTGTATACTACCACACCTGGTTGTTTATGTAGGAGCTAGGGCTTAAACTCAGGTCTTTGTGCTTGTATGGAAAATATTTACCAATCAAATCATCTCCCCTACCCCTTGAACTGTCTCCCCAGGATAGGGAACAGAGGAAATCCTGAATAAAGCCCCGAGTGAAACCGTACACTTGACATGGACACAGCCATGTCAAGGATCCCATAACCTCAGGCTCAGAGGGACTCCGGTGTGTATGGCCTGATGACTGCTCCCTTATAGAGTCTGCTCCTACCATGACCAGCTGAACCTGTCACTTTCATCCAGCTGTGTATCATAAGCCCTGTCCTCTTCTCCAGCTGTATATAATAACGTGATCTCTCACTTCAACTGTATATACTGAGCACACTGAGTTTCCAGGATGTTGAGGCTTCTCTAGCAGGCAGCCTAAACCATCCCCCAACCCCAGATTTCTATCCATGTGTCCATTTGACTATCTTTATTTTTTATTTTATTTTATTTATATATTTACTTAAATATTTATTTATGTATTTTTGGTTTTTCAAGACAGAGTTTCTCTGTAGGTTTGGAGACTGTCCTACAACTCTCTTTGAAGACCAGGCTGGCTTCGAACTCACAGAGATCCGCCTGCCTCTACCTCCCAAATTCTGGGATTAAAAGCATGCACCACCACTGCAGGGCCATCTGACTGTCTTATCTTTATTCCCTCAAGGCCCCAGTTAGGTCCCTCCCTGAAGGTCATGCAAGGACTTGGTACCCCAGCTCCCAAGAACAGTTTTAAAGGAAGCAATACCATGATGCACACCCACATTAGGCTGTGATATCCCAGGTACTGTCAATAAGTAATGTTAACTCAGTTTGGACACTCTTCAAAGTCTGGTGACAATGGATAGTAGTGAATTCAAAGTATTCTTATTATCTTTGTTACCACTTCCTCTGTGATAATCAGGATGTTTACAAAAGTAAAATGGTAGATAACCTAATCTGATGAGATTTGGAATTAACTGGGAGACAAGCCTTTGGGTGGGTCTTAAGAACTTTGCTAGTAATGACTAATTAGGAAAAGACCCTACCCCAGAGTGGATGGCAGCCTTTGGTAAGGCAGCCCAGACACAAAAAGTTCAGAGGAAAACACAATGTAGCTTCCTTGCCTCTTTTGCTTATGAGTGTGTCTGTCCTTCACTGGTAGAAACTCCAACATATTCTGTCTTCCAGTGTGAACTAAACATCCGCAAGTGTGAAGGAATCCCCCAGGTCTTCATCACAAGACGGGGACTGTTGAAAGCAAAAGCCTTTCAAGCTGAGCCACCTCTGTGAGCTGACCTTTCTAAGTTTCAGATAGCCATTTTTGTACCATCCAGCCCCCATCGTGGAAACCATCCTAATTAACCCCTTTTATAATATATGTACATTCTATGAGTTCTAGTCTTCTAGAGAACCCTGTCTATTACAAATAGTAGCATAGAAATCTTTCTGCGTTTTCTTCCTTTCTTGTATTATTAGAAGGTGGCAGAGATAAGGGAGAGACTCCTGTGGGGTGAACTTCATTGAATAAGACTTCAAAGTCCTCTGGCCCAGAATCTAGGTGCAAAGGCTAAAACTGTAAGCCCAAACCACCAACTGGCATAGGTTTCCTCCCAGTAGCATTTGCCCAACTTTATTTCATGAAGAGGCGCTACAATAATTCTTCAGTGATGAGATGGAAGTGCAGAAACAGAGACCTAAGATTTTCTATTGAAACACTGATGAGCTACTGTCTAAGATGGGAAGCTGTGATCTGATATATTTGCATTTAACTGTGTACTGACATCCATTTACAATGTAAAGGTCACTCGGAGAGACAGGCAGAGAGATAGAGACATTTTTAATTGAAGAAAAACCCTATTTCTTTAAAAATATTTATTTTGTTTTAAATTGTGTGTGTGTGTGTGTGTGTGTGTGTGTATTTCTGTGTGATTATGTGCATGTGTGTGTGTATAGCTGTAGGGGCCAGAAGAGGGTGTTGGATCCCCTGTCTCTATGTCTCCTGTCTCTGTGTCTCTGCCCTTCTCTCTGTGTACGTGTGTTAATGTATGTGTGTGTGGTGTATGAGATGTGTGTGTGTGTGTGGTGTGTGAGATGTGTGTATGTGAGAGTATGCATATGTGTGTTAGTGTGTGTTTATGTGTGTATGAGTATGTGTATACGTGTGTGAGTGTGTTGTGTGTGCTGTGTGTATGTGTGAGAGTGTGTGTGTGGATGTGTGTGTGTGTGTGTGTGTGTGTGTGTGTATGTATTATGTTTTTGTCCTGCTCTACCACTCTGCCCTTGACTCTTGAGGCAGAGTCCCTCACTAACCCTGGAGCTGAAACTGATAATTGGCCAGCCATCACCAGTACTCTTCCCGTTTCCAATCTATCCCTCATCCCCAGTGCTGGGGTTACAAATGCACAGGGTTTTCATGTCTGGTTTTCACATGGGCAATAGCAATCTACACCTAAGTCCTCATACATGTGCAGCAAGCACTCGACCATCATCCCTCCAGACCTACTCGACAGCTTTAAATAGTTAGAGAAACAATCTCCAGCACACTGGATCAGTAAAATCCCAGTGTACCATGAAAAGCTAGACAAGATCCAACATGTCACAGTATTGGGTACAACATTGTAACACAACACAGTAAAATACTCTGAAAGGTTCTTTAGATAAACAAGGGGAAGACTAGTTTGAAAGTCATGTTAAATAATAAAACTGAAACTTACCAATAGCCATTAGTTCCCCACAGGATACAGTGTAGCACATAATAGAGGAAGATGGAACTCAAGAATATGGCCACCAGGTACCCTCTCATGGTTAGCCTGCCTGAAACAGAGTCCAAAGAGAGGGGGACACTTATATAGATGGTTTTCCATGGTTGTTCAAATACATGAACTAGTAAATAAACATATAAAGAGAGAGGAGAAAATGACATAAGTTTGTAACACTGGATGTACAGAAAGAATACTTCTGTTTAGTCTTAGCAACTTATCAACATAATGCAGGTTTCCAACAACAAGAGTTCTGTGGTGTCAAAGCTAGAGGCTTCCCTGAAACTTTTCTCATGTTAGCTAAAAAAGTAAAGACTTCAAAAAGAGAATTTATCTCTACACCCACAACTTTCTTCAAAAACCCTGAAGAATATCTTCTTTTTGATCCTTCCCAATAAAAAGAGAGTATGTGCTTTTGCATCGGATTGGGTCTCTTGGTGATTTTGGGGTTCAGAATTTGGGCACAACACCTTCCTTTTACTGAGACAGCTGGTGAGACAGCCCCAGGGATTTTCCAGTCCCTGCCTCCCCAGCAGTAGGATTATAAATGTCTGCTACCATGCCCAGATTTTCCACATGGATGCTAAGGGTGGAGTTCATGTCCTCATCCTTGGATAGCATGCACTTTACCGACTGAGGGTCATCCTAAGAATCACAGTTGCCCTGGGCTGAAACTCCCAAGTGCTAATGATAAGGCAGGAGATATGCTAAGCAGTCCTAGGCTGTGATGGCTACCTGACCCTTGCCTTTCACTTCTCTCTATTAGCTATTGCTCTGGATAGCCACCACTCCCGAGTATCATTTTAATAAATTAGTTTCAAATGACAGAGAAAGTAAGTAAACAAGAGAGTTAAGTGTGTCAACTGTAGTCTGCACATACTTGTACTGAGTTGGTGTAATTCCTGGGAAATGACATGATCTACAATCCAGCTCCACCTGAGGCTGGAGAGCCTTAGGTCAATCAGTTTGCTTGTAGCTCAAGCGCCCACAGATGTCTATAAGCGAAAGCACACCCTCATTCTCAGCAGGTTGTCATTAGTCCAATGTTGTCACCAAATAAGGATTTAAGTTTGTACTAGAATAGCATACTTCATGTAAATATCTAATAATGACATAACTTACTAACATCAACAAATTTTTTAAAAATATAGTTACACATAAAGGCCTAGAAAAGATATCAGTATTTAGCATTCAGTCTGCATATCTATCCTTTAAAACATACTCCTGGGGGTAATTTTATAAGGCATGGCATTATGAGTAAGTGAGATTATTGTCTTGTTTTTCATTCACTAATACGAGTTTTAACTGAAAACAAAGAAGTATGAGAAAAAATGTTCTTTGTTTTCTTCAAAGAGTAAAATAAGCTTGCTTTTGAAGAGGTGTTGCACACAGCACCTTTAAAAAAATTTAGGAAGCTCAGGCACTTTCTAGAATTTCATGGCCTACTTAAGGCTTTGATATTCAAGGTGCAAAGTAGGCGAGTACCAACCAGGATATCCCGGTGATAAACATGTGTGGTCCCTCTGACTAGTCACAGGAAAAAGCGTCCACAAATAGACTAATTATTTAATTGTAATACCATAAATGGAATGACTGCGCGCTCTGAGCAAGAGCATGCAAAGGAAAACCCGTCAGGATTTTTATAGATGATATATGGCTTTAAGAAGCCATAAGTGTCTAGAATGCAACTTCCACTAACACTCAAGCTCATTTTAAGATCTTGACATTAGACATGAAGGGTAGGTAACTTGGGAGCACAGGTGCCCTTTAAGCCATCATGGCTTTAACATGTGAGGAAGTCAGAACTCACCTACAGAGGGCAATAGCTGATTCTTTTTTCGGTGCAAAAATAATTTTCAAGCGCCAAATTAAGCTCAGAAATGGCAACAGTTGGGGCTTGAGGAAATGTTCACTCTGTAAACTGCTTGCCATGCAAGTATGAGGAACTGAGTTCAGATCTCCAAAAAAGCTCCATGTGGGTGTGTTTTCTGTAACCCCAGCACCATGCAGAGTTGGTGGGGAACACCCAGATCCCTGCATCTCACCGACCAGCCAGACTAGCCAAACAGATGAACTCCAGGTTCAGTGGAAGACCTGGTCTCAAAAAATAAGGAGGAAATGGATTGAAAAAACGTTGACCTTTGCCCGCCCACACACACACATACATGCTCGTGCACGCATGCGCACACACACATACATATACACACAGTTGTTTTTTAAGACAACTTGACAACTTTCCCTTCTCTTCAATAGCAAAAGAATGCACTGTTTGTATTGAGCATCTTAAGATCACAAAAAGCCTGTAAGGCTAGCATTTCCTGTAAGAGTCAAAATAAGCTTGCCAAGTGGATGTGTGGGTATGATTCTCCAGATGGGTGAGGGAAAAAGGGATGTTTCCCATCCCACAATTTAAGAGAGACAGAAAGAGTTGCTCTGTCCCTTAAAGATCTATTCCTGGGTCATCCTGTCATCTCAAGATAGAAGGCAAGAGGGGAACCCAAAAGAGAGACCTGTAATCTGCAGCTTCTTCACTGTTGTTATAACAGTGAAGAGGAGATTGCTCTAGGGCAGAACCAGAGGGTCAGCACCACCCAGGGTGAGATGGGGGCTGCATTAACAAGTTAACACCCCTGAACATGGGGTTCTTAATGCATATGATTGAGGATCGCTGCTCTGGGGCTCACTATAGAATCACGATGTAGAAAAAGAAAATGTTTGGTCTGTTGAGACCATAACAGATGATATGGTAAGTGCCCCCAATATAACCACAAGGGACCTGAAAACACACACTGCCTTTCTTATTTTACTCCTAGCACAGGGCCTGCCACACAGGAGTTGCTAAGTAGATGTAGTTACAGCTATCAGAACTCAATGCTCTACACTAATTTTTCACTCTAAATGCCTGGTGTGTGGCACATGGCCAAGGACTAATGATGACATGAACTCATTGACAAGTGAGCATCTGGGAAAGGGTACTGGTGTATGTAAACCACTACCACCCTTACAGCCTCCAGGTAGTGATAAGCTTACACTTCCTACTTTAAAGATGAAGAACCTGAAGAGCTGGGAGAAGTTTCCCACCTGATAATGTGGCAGAACCGTGTGACTCAAGCTATCAGACCAGAGTCCCTGTACACACTGTCTCTCCCAGGGGCAACCTTTTCACAGATGAGCAGGTCCGAACTCTTGATACCAGGTTAAACATTACAGAATGTTTCTCTAATTGTCAATTCCACTCATTTCTTTGGCAGAACTAATCCAATGCCAGTTAACAAAATGGGAAGTTTACAGTTTCTGACACAAAGTCTGCCAAAATAAACCCTATTAGTCTCAACCCTTCTCCTTCCAAGCTGCCCCACCCCAGTATACTCAAATACTCAAATCAATACCGTTGCGCAGCAGGTAAGAAACGGCCTTGGTGTTCGCTTTTTTCAATGCTGAGCATTTGCAGCCCCCTGCAGCCTGGTTTCTATGTTCCCCGTTTCCTTTTGGCTTTTCTCCAGGGGCTTTTGAATGTCCCTCTGTACAGCCACCCTGAAATCTGATGCTGATCTTGGTTCAGGAGAAGGGAGCCTGCAACTCAACAATTTGATCAAGTTCCTGCAGACAGCATCCATTTGCCAAAGCTGGTTTCCATTGGTTGGTTCCTTACAATGGGTCACACTTTCCTAATATCTGCATTCACTTATTCATGTTCTCTTCACTTTCCCTTCCCTCCAGGAGCTTGGTATCCAAACTTGCTTGCTTCCTTCCTCCCTCCCTCGTTACTAAGGTCCTAAACCATGTCCCCATGCTCTCTGTGGCAAAGCTTTATGTTTCCTGCTTGTTCAGTGATACATGAATTCACTGTTCACACTAAGCCTGCTCTCATACTCTCATACCCAATGTGCTGCTGCTAAGATCCAGTGAATTACACACCTGTGCAAATCAGAAAGGACCGCCCTGTTAGCCTCACACATCCCTGTGGGCTGGACTTTGGCTGTGACTTTCCCTTAGCCATTCTTGCCCAAGGCTCACCTCTACATCCTGACCCAGCAGCCCTGCTGTGTCCATTCTGTCCTTCCACGGGCCTTCCTCCACTAAGGCCTCTGCCCATGCACATCTCACACTGATCATGTTCAAGACTGTCTAGAATGAGGCCAGCAGATCTCAACCCTGCCTGCCTGCCTTCCTCTTTCTACTTGTTGCTCAGTTTGTGACTAGTCTCTGAAGTTACATACCCATGTGAAGAAACCTACAAGCTTGAGCCTATGTTGACTTCTAATGTTTAGATCCAGCCCTAATCTTGAGCCTCATAGGACCAGCCATCTCTGCTTAGCTCAAGTTTTCCTGGAAACACTGGGCCCCACTTGCACAGATGGAAAAGTCTTAGTCTTCAATCATAACCTCCTTCTGCAGTACAGTCCTTCTTACTTTACTTGAAGGCCCTCATATACGGAGGCCTTCTATCCTCTGGAGGCCATGACCATGCAAATAATAGCATAGTTTATAATGCACATAATAAATCTATAGCACGGCATTAAGCCCTTTTGTACATAATAATTAAGCCAAGAGTTTTAAAATACTCAGTGAAACTGGTTAATAATACTCAGGACCAGTGATCAGAATTCAAACTGGCAACTATCTGATTTCACAGCCCACAATTTTAAACTGCATATTAAGTAAAACTATAATAACTGCATTTTTAACTGTAACACTATGAACTTAATGATACACTTTAAAAGCAAAACAAAAAAACGGGGCTGTAGCTCAGTAACAGAGCATGTGCTTAGCATGTATGAGGCCCGAGATTCAAGTTCCAACAGTAAGCAAATAGAAAAATAAATGTTATGATACACATTAAATAAGTGTTTATTAAAACACACTGACTCATAAACACTTTATTACACAAAGAGATAGTTTAGAGCACTGATGCAATTTTCTCCAGGAAGCATCTCAAAATTTTCAATAGGTCATAATTAAAGAAATAAAGCACACATTCAAATAACATGCACTATTACAGCTAAAGAAACTCTTACTTTAAGTCTGAATGGTTAAGAAGTATTAAGATAGGAG